CCGGACCCAGGTGGGGAGAGGAGGAGAGAGTGCGGTAGATGCCGCGCAAGTCTACTCTCAGTGTAAACTAATTAACGCGCACGTCACCGTGCGCACAGTTGAGACGGTCGAACATTCATCATCAGAGTGAACAGGTTTGGTCTTCTGGATACAGCCACCTGTTGATCAAAGGCCTGAGGACCCCGTGTGGGCCTGTGACATTATTGGTGACCAGAGCTGGACGAATCCTCTTCGCTGTTCACTCCTGCATCTCCTGTTTTGGCTAGTTGGAGTTTACCAAGAGTCTGCTTTCTGACTATGTGGAGGAGTAACTTTGTAGAGTGTTGACCATAAAGTCGAGGGGCAAGGGTAGGAGAAATTATAAAATAAGATAGCTCACCGAAGAGATTGGTCCAGCATCCAAAACGTTTTTGAACAATTTTGGTTTTCTTTGGAATGCACTCGGTTTTTTGGGTAGTAGTAGATTGGATGTTAGGCAGCACAAGATGACAGGCTTCATTGAACACGCGGACAAGTAGTGTCATTTAGCAATTATGTGCACGGAACTTCGCATCTGAAACCGCGAGCTTAAATGTGCCCTGTTAGGCATTGAGGCATTATGCACAGCCAGATACGAACATACTCAAGGGATGAGATAGCAGGAACGACTGGGTCCAAGTGACCTGCCCGAAAAAAACCCGAAAAATCCAATTACGTGTCTGCGTGGTTGCATCGGCAGTCAACAAGATCACAGTACTATTTGTTTTGTGTATATATAATTGACCGCGATAAACGTACCAAAATCGTCGGAAGGCAATGCATCAATGCTACAGCGTGTTCAATATTGGCTTTACCAACCACTAAAGTCTCCACATTCTATTCTTAAATATTAAACCCTATCTGGAAAGCATATTCTAAAGGTCACGTTGAACAAGGTCTTCTCCAAGCTGTCGGGACTGAAGAACATAATGGGAAAAGAGAGCTCCAAAGCAGAACAGGGCGAGGGAGTTTCCTAACGTACATCGTACATTCCCGATTGCAACCGACCAGGCAACGAGCCCGTGGCTCAGCTGTAAGGGTTGTTGTTGTCGCTTGTTTGAGCCTCGGGGATTGCATAACTTGGGGTAGGGTACGGTTGACTGCTGACGGCCACCGAGCCAGAAATGGCCACTACAGTTTCCTTCGTCTTTGTCGATGTCATTTTACCCGTACGGGGGTGTGCTTATCTTCTCATTTCTAGACTTCCATCCCTGCTGATTGACCAAAATGCAGCGAACCTTTAGGATTGCTCAGGGTGGCCATTAAGCAAGTATGAAAGGGGGAAAAAGGAGAGTTTTCAGCGGCAGTTTTGCACATGTGCAAACTGTTGATAGTTCCGGTTTCTGCTCAAATTATGAAATAAGAAGTAAAAGTTAAAGTAATTTCACTTTTTGTCCGAAGATGTAAGAAAGATGAAGTGCCCTTTTACTTCCGATAAATGATGAACCCCAACGTTTTAGGCAGCCCAGCAAAATTAGATCATTTCTAATATACTGAGTACTGCTCACTGGGGAATTTGCGTGCACCTACAGCGTGCCACGGGGGAGATGCGATGGACCGAAATGGGGGCCAGATTTGCCCATGGCACGCATCACGCGGGTTGCGCAGGGTCCGTGCATCCCATAACAAATGTCACGCATGGGGGTGCGGGGACGCGTCTAGGCGCAGGACCGATGCGTAAAAGAGGGGAGAGAAAAAGTGAGATCGGCACTGAGGAATCTATCTCGAAGCCACCTTAGCACATACCTCTCTACGAAAATCTGACGCGCTATCACGATGCAATAAAATTCGCGGCTTAGAAGACCGCCAACAGATGGGATAACTCGGTCCTCTCAGGACGAGGAGCCAGGCTCCAATGACCGCATTTTAATGTGACCTTTGTAGGAGTTCATCTCAGATGAGGACCGAGTCAACGTTTCTTGTTTCTGTGAAAGACTGGTTCACCGGGCACAGTTTGTGTCATGTGGGGCACGCGTGGAGGGTTGTTTAGTCTTGTCAATTACTGCATCCGATCCCACTTTTGGTTCTCTTGACCTTGTTTTGCCATCTGGGTCGAAGGGACAAAGGAGAAGGGAGTGTGACATGTGTTGCCCAAGTTTGTCATCATTTGCTCGCACTCCTGCTTGGCGTTCTCTGCCTGCAAGTATTTTGCCGATACCTGTCAGGAGTGGACACTGTACGTAATGAATAATCCGTTCAGAGCTTATTTCTCTGTTCACGATATGCAGCCTCTTTCTCCACGGACAGGTGCGACACTCCGCAGCATTTCGTTAGTGGTTCTGGGGTCTGGGTTCCAAAATCTGGTGCATCGTTGTACATACAGTCCCACATACGGTGTCCCATTGAATATTTCTCTGGATATACATTCTCAAACTCATACTTCCTCGCAGTCTGTGGGTCATCCAGCTGCCAACTGCAACTCCTCTGACTGTACTGAATTTAGTGCTGACATATTCTTCGTTTTATTATCGACAGGACTTTGAACAAAAAGCACATTTCTTGAAATGTCTATGACCTGGAGAACTGTTAGGGGAGTCAATAAACTAGAGGGATCAGGGCAATGAAGTTAGCAAATTTCGAATCTCCTAAGGGTTCTCATTATCCGGATGAGCACGGCACTTGAAAAACAAAAAAATCTCCTGTCACATCGAAACCCTGTTAAGTATAGAAATCACTGGACTTAATCATGCATTTCCTAATTTCCTACGATGAATTTTGATAAATAATCTTAAAAACAACAAAAAAACTGCTCCTGCGAACCAATTAAAAAATAAGTAGTAGTTTTAGGCGGATCCGCAAAATTCATTTGGCCCAATTTCGAAAACCTCGGCGTCTCGGTCACGTTCGCATTCACGATAACAAACGCAGGGCTTGCTCACAGTCAACGTTTTAAATTCCTGAGTAACGGAAGTCCAAACGGGAGCTGTGAGTTTCATCACATCTGGGTATAGTTACTCCCCATCCTACTTCAAAGTATGGAATTCACCAACTCTGAGTATAGCAAGCTGACTGTTTAAGCAGAACATCTCAAGTATAGAATCCACCAGAGAAGTACCGGACTCATTTAGTTTATATGTGTTTTTGGCAGGTTTTAATAATTCACATTAATGATTAAACTCACGGCTTCCGATTGGGCTGGTCTCCAATCGGTGTGTGTTGCATTTGCCGAGGGGTGGTGTACCAGTGGCTTAGGTTGTGGTTGCAGGCGGGAGGTGCGTTCAAGTGGCCGCATGGGCAGCTGCGGCTGTGCGGTCGCAGGTGTTCCCGAACCGTCGATCGTGTGACTTCAAGTCAGCGCCTCTGGAACGGCTCACTGCAAAAGGGTGGATGACCTTGAGGCAGCGAGGTCTTGAACCATGACGCCAGACCGGTCATGATGGCTGGCCGCTACATACTTTTGGTGTCACGGGTTTGAACCTCACCGAGACCGCAAAGTGTTTCACAATTGGGTCAGTTACATTAGGAAAATGTTTTACCCCCACTTTTATTCACACACTGTGTTTCGATTTTCCACCGATTGATGAATGTGCCCTCCCGAACATTCTGATTGGTTAGTCAGACGGTAATTGAATTCTCGAACTTAAAGTTTAGTTTACTCGCATTTCTCATCTGGAATTTGACAAACCAGTATATCCGGCCTGGCCCAAGATGGGTTGAAACTTTTGAACTATGCACTTGACTTCCAACACCCAATTTAAGGAATATTAGGATAAAATGTCGACACACGTATAATTTGGCCCAATTGCGCAGTTTTCTGCATTCCCAGAAATGCCTTTGAATATAACGTGCTGCATAAGTATACTTTCCGTCCTGAGGAAGGATGTACTGCACAACCTAATAGTAATTCCTAGCTTATTTATGTACTGACCATCTAATGCAGTATTCACTGTCAAAATATTTTGTAATAGAGCAGACCCTCCTAAATATTGCATAGGCTGAACGTTTACCGATATTTTTTCGGAAAAATAATATGCCCAATAGAAGCGCTTTCGATCACTTTGGGAAGTAAAAATCAAAGTTGCGGAAGTCCCAATGGAAGGATCCAGAATGTCAGCTGGTAAACGTACGTTTGTTTCGATAAATACTCATCCGAACACAGGGACGTGGACTCCCTGTACTGTAATTGGCTTCGAGATAAATTTTAAGAGGTATCTATTACCGTATCCCAACTTTAACTCTATCCATAACATTAAAATTAACCTTCAGGACCTAAAATTAATCTTCTATCCACAGCCATCCAGAATTCGACGCAAGACCCACTTTGAGGTCTCCCTCAACGCCTTCTCGTTCTTTTGTTTCGTATATCACGAAATAGCACAAGTCATGCTAATTAATCTCCATCTTTAGGCACTAACGCCCATTGCTGAAATGTCACTGAGTAATGAAACTCTTTAGAACAGATTATCGGCCGGTTTGAAAAGATTTTTGACTTACATGATTAATTTTGCTATTTTGGTAGACGTGAATGGACCCTAAGTTCATATAATTCTTTTTGGGGCTTCGTGGTATGTTAGCGAGTACTGTTCTGACACTCGAAGAATGAACCTGGACGCCAGCATTCCTAAGACAGGACCCCAAAACTGCAAATAAATGCTTTCTGGCCTCCGTCAGGATAACTGAAGACTTATCATCACTGAGATAGCTTTTGTGGAGTGCCGACTGGAAGTTCCTTATGCCATTGGTGGTCAATTATCGCATAAAACTCTGGGTATCCGTGATCTTTATGCCCAGAATATGAGACTGTGGTCAAACCAGGGCCTAGTCCCATAGAGCCGGGGTTCAAACCCAGACTTAAATCAGCTTGAAGTCCCCCTATATGGGCAACTAATGAAGAACTGTTTATTCTTGCCCCACCTGTCGGTGCCCGAGAAACTGCAGTTTTGAGTCTCTTTCCTACAATTCAAATTCTTTCCCTTTACTGAATTACTCCTATTTGGTCTCTCATGGCTTAGAAGTAAAGAGAAGGAGCATAAGTGACCCACATGAAGTTGACGCTGGGAAATCCACCAATGAAAATGCCCGCATTCTTCCTCTCTTTTGTTTTTTTAGTCGTCAACTATCCGCTTCACCTAGACCGTACTCTACCTCGACAGGGTTCGATCTACTTCCTCGTCGTCATGCCCCGAACCCCGACGAAGAGGTCAGCGGGAGCTGAAATAAGCACAAGTGTCCCACCAGTCTCCGTTCTAGCGAGCGTCTCCGAACACACAAAGGTCATTCCACCGGCCACAGATCGCAGGATTAAGACGGACTTGCTGGCTCTTGAAGTTCCCACGACGCATGACTGTACCACAAAGGATCAAAACTGCGCGACCGGAACAGTGGGCCGTGACCCGCTGCCAGCAAAGTCGATGGCTCGAAAGGAGCGCGGAAAGTGTGCTCGCAGCGCTGGCGGCAGCACCATCAACGACGCCGACTCCACGCAGCCGTCGAAAGTCGAGAAGAGTGCATCCCCCCTGACACAGGCTGACAGGGAATCTCCTGGAAGACCTACGCTCACAAAGACCGTTAAAGTCAAGAAGACGGTCAATGCTGAGAAAGTCCGACTCAAAACTTCACCGGAAGTGCCGAAAGAGCAGCAGCAGCAGAAGAAGGCCAAACTGCCAGCAAAGGAGGGCGATGCGGAAGAGGTGATGCAGCAGTCGATAACCAGCGAATGCGGCGTCTCCTCCACCTGTTTGGATCCTCCGGCAGGGAAGGAACAGGTGAATGCTGCCACGGAGTCTCCACCTTCCCAGTCTCCGCCGTCATTCCAGTCTTGTCCTCCGTCTCCCTCACCACCGGCCGAGACCGGAGGGTGTGAATACTCATCAGGTGCTCAGGACGAAAAAGGCGCCAACAACTTTGTGGTCTCAACCACGGACGAGCCTCTGGCCGTCAATTGCAATCCTGTCGTCTGTAGGCGACTGAGCGAGGCGTCTGAGCCGAATGGATCCACAAAAGACACCGAGGCACAGGTTGCACCGCCCACACCCAGCACCATCGCTGAGGACATGGGCACTAACCTGATTGTGAACTACCTTCCACAGAACATGACGCAGGAGGAAATAAGAAGCCTCTTTGCCAGCATCGGTGAGGTGGAGAGCTGCAAACTCATCCGGGACAAGACTACATGTGAGTTGGAAAGTTGAACTTACGCTGTGAATACGCAAATACTGATCCGTATGACAAACAACTGCGAGGGGTTTGGGCCATCAGTAGGTCCGCCAGTCTATCCCCATGCCGATTTTCTATGTTGGGCTTTTTGGTCTCCTCGGAAATTAATTTGCGAATTTTGAGTAGTCATTGAAAGGGTTAATACACTTTTCTTAAAATGGAATTAAATCAACTGCTGTTGGCGTGTAGTTTAGTCATGGTGGTTGTCGGATAAAAACGTATTAACCACTTTCCAACCGCAAAACTGCGATTTAAGGACGTTCTGATTCTGCCTCAGAAGCAAATCATCGGGACTTCCGTCGATATCGACGTTTGCGTCGTATTTTCGATATGAATAATTGAAAAAAGTATTTTCTGGAAAAAAGACTTTCCGAGTTCATGAGCATTTTCAAAAGTTCCAGTTACTGCGACAACATTATTGATTTGCCTAACGAATATCCATACAAGACAAGGTGCATGATTTGCCGCCTTCCAACCAGAGCACGTAAAATCAGCCAAGTTTTTTTGGATTTGGAGTCAAGTGCTCGACCAGTGATCCACAGCTGCTTGTCCTGCGTTCTACGATCTTGAGTATTTAGAGTCAGACACGGGTGTTGGTCAGTTACCTTTCGTCGCATGAAAACTAAGTATGGCCGCGGGAAAACTAGCACAGTGCCCACGAGAGCGGTCCAATCCCAGTGATTTGGAGACCCTCAGAAAGTGTTTTTAACATATTCCGGAGGATGAAGTGGGTAATATCTGCCCATGTGAATAGGACCTCGAATTTTTGTCTATCGAACTGGCGATCGAAGCATAAATAAGTACTCAGATAAATACTACTATTTCAAAGCTACAGTAGATGGGATGTCTCACGAAATGTTGACTGAAATTAGGAAATATGTTTTACATTCGATAAGGTTACTTAAGCACAGCTGTCATGTTGAATAGCATGCAGGTCAATCGTAAAACCTTTCAGGCGCCCCAGCATGGCGGCTTTTGAATAAGCTTATGTTTCGCCGTCTGCTATAGTCATTCTCTGAAAAATGGCTACTTTGGCGGTATGAATTTTTCTCATTCTCTTATAAACTCTTATATATCACATAGAAGTCATCCATAAAAATATTGTCAATTGCACTCATTTTGTAGCGAATTACGCCCCTTCTAGATTTTCTACTTGAAGAGAAAGAATCTTTTGGTTTTAAAGAATTTTCTAATTATGGGGTTTTATAAGACCGTGAAATGTCCATTAATGCAGCATCACATCAGTTCGTTTATTAACGCTAATTATAAAGCATACATTATGTTCCACATCTATCGCGAAATTTTATGAATCCTCTATGATATCTTGTTAATAGCACGTTAGGATACATGGTTCTCCTCCCACGGAAAGTATGCAGCTTGTACACTGGGAACCCTGAACGCAAATGCAACGGCATTTCGGACTCAAAATTATTATGGAGTAAAAAAAAACCTCTTAAAAAACAAAAAATAGCCTTTCTTTAAGTAGACAATTTGGAGAAGACGCATTTCGCCTCCAATAACTTGCAAGAGAAAATATTTTTGTACAGGTTTTTTAAATAAAATATGATTCAAAAAGCAATTTGGCAAGCATATGTCTGCTTTCGATAAATTCTCTTCAGGCCTGGACATTTATATGGCTATTAATGATCGGTCCTATGCGCACGGAAGAAATTCATACAGGTCTCACAGTTTCCATGGGTCAAAGCCACCATTCCAGCTACACGCATGTAATTACCTTCGCCGGGACCCACCTTCTCCCTGGCACTGACTGGAATTGTGGTGTTTCACTCTCCCCCTCCTCTCCCCTCCCCTCCCCATACCCGAGCTACAGCTTAATTATCTACGTCCCCGCATATTTTTCATTACCTGAATAGCCATATAAATGTACAGGCCTGAGGATAATTTATCGAAAGCAGACGTATGCTCGCCAATTTTCCTATTGATATTTACAATTGGAATTTTCGCAACTCTAAAATATGATTCACTTTATGAGGATATCGAAAATCAATGGGAAAATTCATGTTGCCTCATCAGTCATTTTTATCAGAATGTGCTTTTTTCAGACAGCCAAACACAACCTCATTCAAAGGCCGGTATCCCAACTTGACTGAAATATCTTAAAATAGGGCTGCATGCCAGCTGTTATTACAATCGTACTTAAGTACGTTTTCGAATCAAAGACATATGAGATTGCACATCTACCATTTTATCGATTTTTGCAGCTGTGTTATATGGCCGATTGGGCTGTCGGAAGTGACGGACTCTAGATAGAAATTAAGAACCAATATTACGCTCTCCAATCAGGAAAGTTAGGAAAACAGTAGTTTTACTTCCTAGGCCAGAAGCCGGGCATTTTTTCATCTGTCTGAGACATTTGGTCAATACAAATTAAGTGCTGGGTTGGTGTGGGTAAAGTAAGCGCATGTGCCAATACACATGAATTACACAGTTCACCAGATAAATGCGAAATATCTTCATGCCTTTGTTTTCTATAAGTGGGAGGACTTTCCGTGTGCATAGATGCTAATTACTATTCGGAGCAATGAAGTTCCGGGCGTCAGAAGTCTTCAAAATGGGGGCGGGTAGACTAAAATTGTATAAGAGCCTGAGAAGGTAAGTTAAGTAGACTTTTCAACGGTCCCTACCCTTTTCGGTATACTGCTACCCACACGGACAGCCAGAAACCTAGAATAGGACCCAGGACAAAATAGATCAGTGGACACCATATACAGGTCATTAAAGTGGTTTCGTGTGCAACTTCTTGTTAAACTTTGGATCTAATCTAGGGGACGCAAGCGACTTCACTTCTGAGGTGCTCACCGGCTTTGGTCCAAAACTATCTACCAACTTCAATCGCGCACCTCTTTCGACTATATTTTCCAACATAACAGTCTTGCGCCTCGGTTCGTGCCTTGTTCAAAAAAATATGTACTCAATTTTCTTTGGCATAGGCATGTGCGTGACTCCGAGGAGAAACAGCTAGAATTAAGCCCCTGCTTGGTGAACCAGGCGGACACACAGATCTTCCAGAAATTAAGCCCGCGCTTCAGGCCAAGACGGCAAGCCGTTTTACTCCTCCCGGAATTTTTTCCATTCAAAGAGAGTATTGGAATGCGTTGATTTATAGCTGCTACCGTCGGTTTTCTGAAGCGAATAACATGCGCGACCGTCACGCTTGGCTGAGAGAGGCGCAACGAAATTTGCGCTCGGACGCCCCCCCCCCCGATGCAACACCTGCTCTATGTGCGCCCTAGGCCCGCCTAGGGCGTTCCTCTTCCAACGCCCCCCATTTACCCCGTCTAGTGAACATCCGCTCCCCCCCCCCTTCGAGGACAAGGCAGGCAATGCACCCCTAAGAGGATGTCGATGGGTAGTCGGTTAAAATCTATTCCATTTGCAAACAGGACTGCTTTCCTGCACTAACAAGTGCAAATACCCGACATATAGGACCGAGCCGACTTCGTGCAAAGCAGACAGGAGCTTGGGTTCCATACTTAAACACAGCTCAAAGTCTACTGAACACTTCTTCCGGAGTACTGGTCACAGAAATGGCTTTTAGGTGCGATGATTAAATATGTGTGGTACTAGCACCATAGCTATATTTCGGGATTACTACAAACTGCACACCAGCTTACCCTCGCATATTGAACCGGTAAATTCTCAAAACTAGCTGAAACTTAGGATCACTTTTTTTCAAAATCGATACCTTATGTTCATAACTACTTTCTGAATTGTTCTAATTGAGAGTTATATTAAGAAAGAAAATGGAGTTTAGACAAGGAAGTAGGTATATATTTCATTACTTCCTTCAAATGTTAAAAAAGGCAACCATCCCCTTGGCCAGTTAACCGTAAGAAACGGGTCATACTCATTGAGTATGAAAGAAAAGTTTACTTTTTCGATTTTCGAAAATGATTTTCAGTTTGTCCCCAGGCGTACGGGCAGTGTGCGAAAACAGTTAGCCTTAGGTGTGTTTAACAAGATATTTGTGATTGCTTGATGTTCGCACGGACAAGCGCCAAGAGTTTTTGCTTATCTGAGTTTCTTTCCTTCGGTTCACAATTTTAATTGCCCAATAGTCCTTTGGGTCTCACATCGTCATTTCTCTCGTTGAAGATGTCGGTACGGAAGGTGAATAAGTCCAGAATTGGCGTTGGGTCGATAGAAATCAGTGCTATCTGAGGGCTTAAACACCACATTTTCCTCGGTCCAAAACCATAACACGTAACTGTCATCAAGATTAAGCTGCAGGACGTGTCGATGTAAAAAAAACCGACCTGCGGTTTTTATTTAACGGCAAACTACATTAATTATTCGCAAAACATAAGGACCTGTCCCAATTCATGTGTGGAACTTAAAAGCATGTAAATCTAGTAGAGGGGGTGTGCACCGAGCACGTTACGAAACTCACTCGTCCGGCTGTGCCTTGGGGTTCCCCTTAAGTTATGCCAGCAGCTCCACAGCGGTGCATCATGCTGGCAGAATAACCACCGAGAAATACAAGAGAGTCTGAAATGTAAGTCCCAGATTTACTAGCAGTCATCAGCCGGGCACACTTAACTCCAGGTTTGCAATCCCCAAAGCTCCGACCCGCGTTTTGTTGGTTATATTTAAAAGAAGACGAAGACACGATCACTGGGACGGTAGCTTTATTGGTCTTAGCTTTTTAACTCGAACAGGAATTCAGCATCAGAAACTGTTAGAGTGCAGCAACGTGTGAACATTTATATGTTGTACCGTGAGGGGGGGGGTTACATCCGTGGCTAGGTCTGGTTCGTGCCGCCTGGTCCACAATGGTCCCCCGGCGTCATGACGGCGTTCGTCCTTCGCGGCCATGTGAGCTGCGCCATCTGGCTGCGTGGACGGAGTGCGTGATAACCGTATAAATGTTCACACGTTGTTGCACTCTAACAGTCTGCTCGAGTTCGAAAACTAAGACCAGTAAATTAACCGTCCCAGTGATCGTGCCTTCGTCTTCTTTTAAAGAAGAACCTAGGATGTCCCTTGTTCTCTTCCATCTGTGTGGGTTATATGTCCATCACTCTAACCAGTGAGCCATGGGCTCGCTGTCATGTCGGCTGCGATCAGGTATATTAGCCGACAGGACAACGGACCCGTGGCTCAATTTTTAGAACGCTTGACATCTAACCAGCAGACCGTGGATTCGAGATTCAGGTGCCACAAAGCTGAAATCGAATATGACTGTTTGATTTGGACTTGATCCCGCCCGGGGCAGTCCGCTACTATATCAGATTTGGTGGAGCCTGGACGTTGCAGTAGACTGGACGGCTAACGTAACCCAAATGGGATGAAACTCACAGCTCCCGATGAGGCCTCGTAGATCAGGTAGCTTGAGCGCTAGCTGTACCAAAGCCTTTCAGTTACTGTCATGGGGACGACTTATAAGCCAGAAGAGATCATTTCAATATCCCATGTCTTTGTTGATAGTCCTTCTCCCTGCGTATATAGGCGTTTCGAACTTTCGTGTAAGTCCGCCCTCAAAAACTTAATGATGGCACAATTCACTGCATCTTCAAATCACGGCTGTCAGAAATCTGAAATCGGGTGTCATTTACTAAGCAAAATGTTACTGTCGCCAAGCCAAAGATGTTGTTGAATCCGGCAATCAGGTCCGCACGAGACTGTCCACTTACGTGCTTGCAGTGAGAGCGGAATGCAAACTTTCCCTGGTAGATGTCCGCTTGCTTACCTCAGGACACAACTTAGTTTCAGTGTCTGAGAATCTAAGCAAGCCGGATGACTGGGTATCGCGTCTACAACGGGGAAAAGCAGACCTCGACAGAGGATTCGGTCAGTGGATTATTGATTTGTCTGCCGCCTAACAAGAGCTGCTTGAATGAGTCAAGAACACGGCCAAAAATCATTTTCGATTGACTTTATTTAAATATGTACTTACATGAGAGTTTGAAACGTCGGAATATTTATCAACCGGGTCCAGAGACGCCTCCACAACTTCTTCTATTGAACTGCCTGGGCATTGCGTGCTTTTTATTAATGTGGTTTTACCGTACTTCCGACGTAATTGCTAGGTAAAAGTCAAGACACGTGTTTCACCGATATTCTGCTAGGTGTTCGGCTCATCAGCGAGTCCCGCAGTTTTCCACGTGGTTTCTGGTATATTTACTGCAGAAAAATACCAAACAAATAATTTCGAAATTAATAAGAGCATGATTTGAAGTCAAATGTCCGGGGCATGGCGTTTATGTATATGAATATAGATGCCTGATATGTTTATATATGCATATACGTGGTTTGTTCGAAACAAGTTCTCAGAAGAGTAAACGAGCACATTTGTAGTTTCGTTTATCGGACATATATTCATGACCACTAGTAAAGCTGTTAACTTTATGAAGTTTGAAATGCAGTACAAAAACAAGTGAATGTCAAAGAATACCTAATGGAGAAAATGAGCCAAATATTTTATAAACCAAAGCTGAACACCAAGTTTTTAAAATTTACGGATAAGATTTCTGGGCTTTAATTTATGCATCATGTTTCTGCCAGTCCGTAGCGAGTTCTTCTATCGCAATGATTTTAGGACGTGTGATTCCTTCTTGTCAAAAAGTAACAAATTTTTTAAGGTCTCTGTTACTATCCTGCTAGTACAAAACTGTTAACAGGTTCTGCTAGTATAGATTTAGAAGGCAAAACTGATTTGGTGCGACTGCCGAAGTTAAATTCTCGCATAAGGTGGGGTACACCATATTCATCCTAATTACAGACCAAACGTCTGGAGAGTTTTTGAGAGAATTTTATTTGAATAACGCACCACTCGGGAGAAGAATAAGCTTCTTCAGAGTATGTAGCGGAGCTCCCAAAAACCAGATGAAGACCACAAATAAGGAGGTAAAATTAATGGGAATGGAATAAAATCTTAAAACATCTTTTGCGTCATTAGACTTTAAATTTCTTCAGAATCGGCTTTATCCATTTACTCAAAAACGTCACAAATCTAGTACCACATTATTCTACGGCTAGTTCTCAACACTTATTAATAGAATTCTGCTATTTTGGTACATATAGTAGGTGAGCTAACTCATGAAATGCCAACCGAAATTCTGAAATGCGTTTACGTTCGGAAAAGATTAATTACGTAGGGTTGTACAACTAGTCAACATGCAACATAATTCAATATTTTTCGTCAGGATGTCGGTTTTCGAATGAACTTCCTCCGGCCGCATGCAAAAACTACACTCTGTAAAAAACGAATATTTATGCAGCATGAATTTTTCTCATTGATTTTCGATGTCCCCTAAAAATCCAATTATATTTCATGGGAAACATGCATAAAAATAGTCATTCCTTTGCTCATTCGGTAAAAAATTAAGCCCTCTTTAATTTTATACTCGAAAAAGCGACATAATTCGGTTTTCTAAAGGTTCTACTTGTGGGACTTCAGATACCACGAAATGGCCGTTCATAAATCGTCATTTCTCGGCATTTACCAATGTGGCTTGTAAAGTTAGCAATATGTATATATATATATATATATATATATCAAATCCACTGAACCCTATATAGTCCCCCGTTAGTACCGTATAGAAATGTGTGGTTTTTCCTACGCGTAAAATATACGGCTTGTAATTTGGAAACCCTGAATCCAAATGTCACGGTAGAGCGGGTTCAAAATTATTCGGGAATTAAAAACGTTTTTTAAAATCAAATTAAGCCCTTCCTTTGAGTATGAGATTGGAAGAAGACGTAATTTTCTACCGAATGCGTAAAAAAATGAATATTTTTATGCATGTTTTCCATGAAATATAATCGGACTTTGAGGGCCATCGAAAATCAGTGAGAGAAATTCATGCTACACAAATAATCATTTTTTACAGAGTGTAGTTTTTCATGCAGCCGGAAGGAAGGTCATTCGAAGACCGGCATCCTGGCGTAACTGACACATTATAGAATTATTTAACAGGCTGACTAGTTTTACAACCCTACTCAATTAATCTTTTCGAAACGAAAGCGCATGTAGGAATTTCAGTTAAAATTTCCTGAGTTAACGCACCTACTGTAAGTGCCAGTGATAACTACTTGTGGTATTATTTGCCGTTTTAGGAGTCTAAAATTTTAAAACGAGAAGGTTTTCAGGAGAAAACCTCATGAACCTTTCGATTACGCCTAAACGTCCGGCAGCATTGAAGCAATTGCTGCAGGGCAGACTAAATTGTATTCTAAGTCAATGCTTGAAAAAAACGAAGAACAAAGGTTGTTACGTGGCAGAAATGCGGACTATGTCTCCAAATGTAGCTGCGATTCCAGGCTGATTCAGGGTAAATATGGCAGATTATTTTGTGGGACACGGAAATGGGTGTCTGCTGTATCACATGCGGCCTTGCGCCAAATTCTAAAGGTGGGGGACGGAGGTTAAGTTTAGGACATCGGAATAGGTTTCGTCCGGGAACTTAGCGCAGGACCGCCTGTCCTGCGTGACACACACATTTTTTTAAAAAAATATTAAGGTGTTCGGTAAGTAACAGCAGTTGTTGCCACTACGAAATATAGGTCAACCAACTGTTGCTTCTCTGATGACTGGTTTTTGTCATCATTCATCACAACCTTTTTGGATCTGCTTCACCTCAAAGTCCCAGAGCCTTGCCGCAAAAATGTAGTGCGTTACCTTTATTTAATCACAAACGTCCGACGTGAACTGGAGAAGACATGCAACGAAGGAATTTGGGTTCAACATCAGCTTGCAACTTAGATTTGAATACAATACAGCAATCTTCAAGCAAGAAATAACAACCTGCCATTTCTACATCGCGCTGTTAACTGTAGAAGTAAATGCGCTTTGCGTCGCAATGTGAAGGCGGTGTCAACTTCGAACTTTGAATCCCATCCTCAGAAATATCTGCTGTGTGTTTTAATGAAGCCTAAAAAGCACCACTCATTTTAAACTACTGGAAAATGGCATAATCATGTCGGTTGCGGATGTCCGCTGAAGACAGACCCCTCGTGTACAATGAGAATTACATCTGATGTGTCCTGTATTGGAGGGTCATACGTCACCAACGAAAAAGTGAAATCGTTAGGAGGTGGAGTTCCTTTACATCCTCCGCATTCACCTAACTTAGCACCCAATGGACTACCATCTGCTTCGATCACCAGAACGCTTTTTGGCAGGTAAAACATTCAGAAATATAAGGGAAAGTTGGAAACAGGGTTTACGCTTTTCTGAAATGAGTCAACCTTCTTTAATCATAGCATCACAAAATTATTTTCCCTTTAGGTTTCTATCATTGGCCATGATGGTGGTGATCAGGTTTTTAATTGAAATATCCAGACAGACGTTATGTGCATTCGTTTTTATTACCTAGTAAAATACAATTGCTTTCTGAAAACCCTAATACATACACGGACGACGTGATAATTCCGACATAAATAGGGCAATAATTCTATTTTTTTCTTTCTGCGAAAATACTAACCTCTGTTGTAAGTCGAAAATCGACGTCATGTAAAGCTCTTTGCAGAAAAAAGAATTTTTAGGCGATATTGCCCTATATGTCTGCGAACGTCGCCCACTGACAGACAACAAGCTCCTGTATGCAGCTATACCAGATGTGATTGATAATCAATGTTATAGCTCAATTTGAGACCTTTCCCTAATGATGAAATAATCAAGCATGCGCGCTTTTACTTTTGACGACGATATTTGGCCGTACATGGAACAAAACGTTATCGAGCACTTCGAAGAAATCTGAAAAAATTGATAGAATGTTCATGGCAACAGCAGTTTTGTAGACTTTTTGGCCTATAGCATCCCTTATCGTAGAGCAAACGTTTGTGGGCCTGATAAAGCCCAAGTTCTTGGCATCTCGCAAGGGATACGAAACAAATTTTGACGTCAGCCGACTGCATGATTTCTACAGACATAAAAAGCCATTGGCTGAAAGAAGGACGGGCTTCCATGCTATCTGAATAGATTAAGGTATGGTCGGTAGATCGTTCAGTAAGGAGGAGGACGGGCTTCCATGCTATATGAATAGATTAAGGTATGGTCGGTAGATCGTTCAGTAAGCCTAGGTAAATGTGTTTAGTTTTATCTACAAGCGAGTTTTTCAAGAAAACCGACTACAACATTCATTACCAACCTTTTATTCTCTGTAGTAAGGCTTTAACACCATATTCACTATCATTTATACCTCCGCTTTTAAGTATCTTTCAATTCACAATAATTATTCAAAGTTCATATTGCCTGGCTACATTTCAGACTGCAAACTACAAAACCTGTCAATAATTTTACTGCATGACTTTAAATTATGGAGTCGCGGAACCGTCTACCGTGCGATACACAATAACCGTCTTGCAATATTGATTTTCATTTATGAAACAATGGCTCTTCGCAAAAATAATGTTTAAATGCAATCCATGTTTTTACTTCGTCTTCTTTTCGCAAGCTTTGTTTACTAAAATCGGGAAAGACTCTATATAAGTTTGTGCTTCAGACGATTCTTCGAGTTCCCGGTTTAAATTAATGCGTTAACTTATTTGATTTGCTGGTTATAAGCCTGAATTGGACGTCGACAAACTCCCAAATATTATCTTATGGTTTACAAAAGAATCAAAATTCCGTTCCAAATCGATAATTTATTTATATGTTTAAATATATTTAGCTTAAGTGCTTAATGACGTAAACTTCAGCCCGAGCTAAATAATATACGGAAATGCGCAGAATTTTGACGGAAAATTCCTTTGGAAATCTCTTGTAGTTTTGATCGAAAAAAGGTCTTACTCAATGAACGACTTTTCCCCGTCAGCTTTGGATACTTTTACAGAGTAAATGATGTCTAAAAAGAATATTTCGCAAATCTTTCTCGTTTAAAATTGTTTTTGGTTAATGGATTTACCTGAAGTGTTCGGAAATTATGAAAACAAACATCATTGTTTTAGACAAAATGGCAATTTAAATACCTGTCACGTCGACACAGATTCTGTACTGGAAAAGTCACTAATATCGCATGGCACGCGATGCCAGCCTACTGGTCGTGACAATCCGGGACATCATAAAGACTATTTTACCATAAAATCTCAGAATATACTGAAAGCACGGTTTCTTTTTAGTATAAGCGTGACTTTTTGCGTGCTTTAGCCTCAGTTTAAAGGCCTTTGCAACATAAAAGCTCACATTAGCGTAATGGTACGCTATACCGTGCAGGCTCCCGTAGGTCAGGTTATCTTACCCAGGTTGTTTTTTTATGAAAGTCCCATCAACAAACGTCAAAACTGTGACGCTAAAATGTATGTTTTCTTTCAAAAGACGAAAATAATTTAAAATAGCCGCTAATTGGTAGACTACAATATTCAGTGTGTTCGAGTCGTCAGGGCGGACGGAGACCTCACAGGCTCATATCGGGTATACACTAGCGTCCAATGGCATTTGATGACTGATGACTATGAAATAACAAGCCATATGTCCTTGCCTTCGTCCATATATCTTGTCAACTTTTCCTGACAGAAAATTGGTCTAATGTCGTGTGTACGCAAACCACACATGCCGCGTTTTTTTGCTGTACCTGCGGTATTGGTGAATAGCATTCACTTCCGTCTTCAAAATGAGAACATGGTCTTTTTAATATGGCGAGTAGACAAAAAGTCTAAAAATGTCAGCAATTGGTACTAATGCATTTCACGAATAAAGGCGAACGTTCGAGTTCTAGGTGCATGTATACGTAAAGAAGAAAAATAATCGGCACCAACATAATCGGGCTGCGCAACGAGGCGACGCCTTATTAAAATTTGGCTGCCGACACCCACAAAACGGGTTATGAGTTTGACTTCACAACCACCAAGATAATCACCCACGCCGGAAACAAACCAGGCCGAGAATTGATTGAAGTCTGGACCACGGATGAGAACTCAGTCAATCAATTTATCGATCTGGCACCGACGTACAGAGCCCTGCACAGTCACCTCCAGTCTTGCGCTGCCGGTCTATGACTGACTTACACCGCCTATAACTGCCCTTTGTTCTATTGTTGCTACTGTCGCTGACGATGGACTCCTGCACGATTTCGAACGCTCAGAACAATAAGCAAAATGTTCCGATGCCCGACTACCCTTCTTCCTCACTAACGCCTTTCTCCAAGTCATGTGTAGTGAACTTGTGGAAATTCAAAAGGCTCTAAATATGAATAGATGAACAGTGCAGGATGGTTTTCGCGACCGTAGCATTCCTCAAGTAATGGCGTAAATCACGAAGAGGACATTTTTAGTTGGTTAGGAATAGCGAAATATTTACAATGACTGCCTGGAAGAACAAAACGTGAAATAAAACACATCAAGAACAATGGTTTGTTTACGACTCCCGAAAGCGCAATAAATGTTGGCTACAATTTTGGGACGCATAATAACATCCATAATAAAAGGCTATAGTGATCTCCTCTATCCAAAACGATCGCAAACACATTAAATAGTATTTTAGAGACGCATTTTAATGGCCGACGCAAGGACTGTTAATGTCAGTTGGGCTCAAATTCATAAAAATTGTTACATAGTAACGATGCAGCGTAATAAAAAAACCGGAGAACCTTTGATCAGGCCGAAACAATCGAGCACATATTAACTAACAAAAAACTTTGCCAACCAGCCTAGTCAACTGCACACCAAACACGACGCTAGAAGTTCACACCTGACAACAAACGTTTTTTGGTCGCAGGAGCTTTTTTACTGTGTAGTCTGTCGTTACGCATAGAAATTAAATCATCACAGGGAAATATTTTCGGACAAAAATTGGAAATATTTGCCGGATTTTTAAGCACGTGCGGTTGCAATCCAGCATGTGTTTTTATTTTGATCTTGCGCGAAATTTTTGTAACGTTTGCAGCCGAAGGATTTCAAATGTCGTTTTCACTTACTAGCTGTGATGGTTTAAGTTCCTTGGACCGATACTTAATTTTGTGACAATAGATTGCTTTTTCGATTGACTGCCCCGCTGGAGTAAGGATAGCGTCTGATAGTCTATTCGAAATTCACGGATTGTCTTTGGAAGTGACAATAAACGTTAGAACGAGGAAGAGGAAGGGACTACAACACACCATAGTTGTATTGGCTCGTCTTTTCCAATTAGATCAAACCCTTAAAATCTGACAGGATTTTACAATAGCTCGTTGACGTACGTGTGGGATGTTGGCGTTAACTAGGAATTCATATGACATAGTGGACTGAGTACGTGTGTAATTAATCCAAGGCACTGGGAAGAAAATATGCCAACATGCTACTTCTTACATTTCTGAGTGAATTCTCCGTTTTAATATGCCTAATGTATGTTGTCCTTTCGGTTGTGACAAGACTATCAGGTTTGTAAATGCAAAGCGCGGGCCTAAACTAAAGCCTCGTGAGGACTTTCGCGATATTGCATTAGCTTAGAGATGGGCACACTGGTTTGGGTTATAATCGCCAGTCTTTAAGATGCTTAAAAGTCACAAATCATGTATGCTGTATCAAAAATAAAGGTAAGGTGCCTACTGCGGTCCTAGTATTTTAATGAAAATAATGTTTTGCTGGAGTTCAGTCTCAGATATTTGGAATTTAAGTGCGCCCTTCCGTCAGCTTTACCCAGAGCCTCTCATTTGTGAGCAGATTAAGGGCGACACCTCAAACTCTTATAATGTGCTGTTCACTTGAAGAGAATTGTTAAAAAGGAGGTTAACGACGGCTAATAATCCAGAAAGGGTCATTTCAGTCTCCCATATCTGTTTACATATACCACACGCCGCTGTGCGGCTGCTGGCGGGGCTCAAGTGAGAGCTCCCATGCACATCGGGACGAGTGAGTTCCGTAGCGCGATCGGTGAACGCCTATCTGTCATTGTATACACCCGATCGCAACTGACAGAACACTAAGCCCGTGGCTCGGTGGTTAGGGGCGTTGGACTTCTAATTAACAAGTTGTGGGGTCGAGACCCAGGTTTTTCGCACTTCGGGGTTGGGTATGACTGGCTGCCCAGTCTCCCTGGTTTTTGTCGAAAATGCTATTTCGCCGATGAAACAGGTGCTGACACCTTCTTCTCTGCTGCCTGTATCATCTCGGCTAAAACTGAGATTGTCCTACATTTCCAACCTACCTGACTTCTAGTTTGGTGGCCGTCAGAGATAGAGTTTCCTGCATATGAGCAGTTACAGTCAGTGACCAATCTTATGAAATGTCAGCTGAACTTCTGAAATAGGTTACCAATTAGGAAGGATTATTTGTAGTGTAGGTAGGTAGGCTGGCTGACGAGGGATAACAAGACAGAAGTGTGCATTTCGATCTCCCTAGTCTTTGTCAGCAACACCACCCTGCCTATACTTTGATTGAAAAATGTCAAATATAGCAAAACAGCAGACACTAGGACTACTTTCCAAATTATTACAACGATATTTTATATGGGCATCAGCTACTCACCAGTCTCATGAACTGCAACAGATCCATAGATTAGAATTTGGCCTTTCCACTTTATCTGCATATCCTATCCAGAAAAGTTTGCTTGAGGCTTCACAAGCGCCAAAGTGCATCTATTCCTGCCCGCCCCAGTCAACGCGAAAGTTCAACATTCGTTATTGGTACCTCACTGCGACAACCAAAAAGCAGTGGAAATAAGCCGTCGAGGGCGGTGAATTCCGCCCTCTTTGCAGACTAACTCTGAACACATATTTGGACCAGATGTGGTTAGGTAGCCCCACCTGATGTTAACAGACCCCAGCCACCTGTAATACGGGACCGGTGCTAATGGGAGATTTTACAGGTAAGGTCGGGGAACGCAATGGCAACGAGTTCTAGCAGCTATATGCAAAAGAAACGCCATTGGGAATGCGCGGCTGTACTGTGAGGGGTTGAGAAATACTTGCCTTACCCCTAACCCCAACCCCAACCCTAACCCCTGACCTCAGACCCAACAGTATTGTGTCCATCAGGTGGGGCTACATAACCACATCTTACCCTTTCTTCTCGAGATGCCTCGGCAATATAATGATTTCGTTCTTTGTTGACAGATTAGGACATTCTGCGTTGGGGCAGGCAGAGTGGTTCAGTCTGTTTTCAAGAGGTTGCGGTGTGCCTAACGTAAAAGATAACCTAGGCCAATTCCTACAGAGTGCTGTACGGTGGGATTCCCCTTATAACTGAGTCCCACCCTTTTTTCAACATCGTTTTCTTCTCAGGTTCATGTTGTACTATTAGAACAGTAAGATCAGACAAACGACGCATTTCAGTTTTTAGCTGTTTAGTTTTACTTGTTTCGTAAAAACGATCGGTGCTCGTCCCTCAACCATTGTACATTCCCTACCGCAGCCGACAGAGCATTGGAGCTATTGCTCTGTGGTTAGAAGCGTTTGACTTCCAACTAACAGGTCGCGCGATCGAGCACAGGTGTCCCGCACTTTGGAGTTGGGTATGACTGGCTGACGACGGCTAATAAACCAGAAATGTTTATTTCGATCTCCTCAGCCTTTGTCAGTAATATCATTCCTCCTATATTTAAATTCAGTAATGTCCCAGATAGCCAAACAGCAGACACTAGGACTAATTTCCAAATTATTACAACGATATTTTATATGGGCATCAGCTACTCACCAGTCTCATGAACTGCAACAGATCCATAGATTAGAATTCGGCCTTTCCACTTTATCTGCATACCCTATCCAGAAAAGTTTGCTTGAGGCTTCAAATGCGCCGAAGTACATCTACTTCTGCCCGCCCCAATCAACGCGAAGGTTGTGTCTATGTAAAGTAGTCGTTAGGGGATTGCGCAATAAGGGTTGAGCACGGGTGTTTCTACATTAAATTCCAGGGGAATTTGGACTAATTTTAGGATTTAAATTGGGGACGGGTATAGAAGCCCCATGGTATGGACTGCAGAGTCACCCGTAGTAAATGAGGTTCCCTATTTCTGTGCACCTCCGCGATTACTGTTGATGTCTGGAGAGATTTTGCCTGCGAATAAATATAGGACAAGCGATAAGACAATTGTTGACAGAAGCGAGCATACGAGTTCCAGGTAGCAGTTCAGAAGACGAAGATGCGATCAGTGGAAGAAAAAATTTATTGGCCCGACGTTTCGAATTCTCACACGAACCCATCATCAGAGACAATCGTAGATAAGGGCAATGGTGGCACAAGTAGTGCAGTACTTATAGCACGTGGCTGCCGTGGGACCACATGCCCACTGTAATTAACAGCTCTCGCGATCACCGCTGGGGTCGTAATTGAAGCGATGGTGGCTTGTCAGTCCGCGTCCGAGTCACTAATTGCCATGATTTCGTCATCCGTTTGAGTGTTGCTGTGACGATTGCTCGGCAAATTGACTCACTGTCACTAAGATTATTGCTCGCCTGCGCCCTGCCCACGTGAGTGATTCCTCTGCCCAGGGAAAATCTGAGCACAGAATACGGTGACGGTAGGTTATTGCGCTTATTGATGAATTGTAAGCCTGAGAACCATGACTCGAGCAGCTCGCGGCTCACGCGGTTGTCACCGCTTGCGAGGATTTCGGCATCTTAAAACTTGAAAATACGACCTGGTCCCGTCGAATGAGCCGCCACCTGAGAGCTATCGTCTCCCCGCCTTACTGCTGCTGTGCGCTCGGTAATTCGCGTCCGATAAAGTCAGATAAAAGGAAGAAGAAATCTGTTGTTTTATTATCAAAGACGTTCTTGATTCTAGCACCAAAGTTATCGTTAGTGCTCAACGTTTATCAGAGGAGGAATCCTTTTATTCAAAAAAGTTGCATCATAAACAAGCAAAATATTAGTAGTTTTTGACGAAAGACGATAATTAGTAGGCGGAGAATCTAAGTTAATTTTTTTGTAAAAATAATTAAAGAGTCGCATGTCATTGCTATGCAGCTGAGGAGCCTTTAGCGTTTTTTGGAAGCAGTAACGCAGGCCAAACGAAAAACTTCAAAGACGTTTTTATTCAGAAACTTCTGCATCATGCACTATTTTCCCTATGTGAAGGAAAATTGAGATATACCCACATTTTTTTGAAATCCACAAATAATTCTACAAAAACCCTGCGGCGTTTGACGACGCCTTTTATTCAAATCCTTCCAGGCGTTTTTTAAAAAAAGGATTTTACGTAGGCGCCATCGAACTAGACAAGAAAATTTGAAATGGTTGCTACCACCCCCTGAACCAATGCCATCTGCCAATGTAAAATAACATGTTAATTAAAATAATCTTCTTTTTCAGCATCAGAAGCAGATTGTTAGTCACTGACAACTTAAATCAATTAGTAGCCATCTTAACTTACTGTTCCACATCCTATCAGCTGCAATCTGGAATATTCGGAGTCAGCTGTGAATGAACGTACTTAATCTATTCTGATGGGAAAACAAAATACGGATTGCCTCGTACTGTCATTCTGAGGTTTACGCAGACTGCCTTGCCGTAACGATCGAGGCGTGCTACTGGGAAGGGAAAGAAAATGGGTAGGGACGGTTTCTTACATATTTATTGTTGTCGGTTAGTTATAACTCGATCGCAAGCCAAGCAGAGTTTGGAGCAGAGCTGTGATTATTCGCTGAGGTAGACACTGTGACGGAATTCAGAGGAGAAGCAAGACGCGTTCATGTTCCTCGACCTTAATGCAATGAAGGACCTGACTCACGAAATGTTCCTAAACGTTAAAAACACCCATCCTAATTCACCGGCTCGAATCTGTTGAAAGGAAAACCCAATTTAAAATAGGTAAACTGCAGTTAATTCGCTTTCGTCAGTTTACTTATTTTACTTTTTAATCTAGCAGGTGTACACTGCGTTACCGATTTCATGATATTTTGGCCAAAATTCTGCAAAGCGTTTTCCATTAGGAGGGATTACTTAGGTGGTATTGCAATACTGATTAGTCTACGACGAAATCCTAATGTATTTCCGTCTGGCCAGGATGTCGGCTTTTGGATGAATTTCCTTTAGCTTTCCTGCGGGAACCACACTCGATAAAAACTGACTACTTACTTAGCATGGATTTTTTTACACAGATTTTCAAGTGTTTCCTACAAAAATGTATTTGTATTTTTAAGCCAATCGAAAATCAATTACAAAAATGCATGCGAAATAAGTAGCCAATTGTTATTGCGTGTGAATTCTGCAGGAAAGCAAAGGAAAATGCATCCAAAATCCGACATCCTGGCAAATCCGAAATATCATAGAATTATGTCGCACGATAACCAGTATAACAATCCCACATAAGTAATCCCTCCGAATCAGGAGCACATTTCAGAGTTTCAGCCAGCATTTCGTGAGATAGGCCACTCACTGTACATGAACATATCAATATTAAAATGCCTCCTCTACGCCTAATGTGGTTCTCATTGCATTTTTTAATTGAGTATAACCTGAAAAGTGGGCCATACGAAGACACTTTGTCCTGCACTCAGAGGCTGAATCGGCCATATGATGGTGGCCCCTTCGTATTTACTTCTAGAATTTTCAATGTTCGGGGGCCTCACCGATCGTTCTTACGGAACTCACTCATTCCTTTGTGCTTTACGGGCTCTCACTCGAGCCCAACCAGCAGCCGCACAGCGACGCCTTATATAGACAGAATGGTATTACCGACAAAGACAAGGGAGACTCCCTTGTCTTTGTCGGTAATACCATTCTGTCTAGATTTTTTATCCATGCTCAGAAATTACAAGTGTAGAAAAGGGGCGATTTCACTTGGTTTTGCCGCCGTTTTTGTGAAAGGACGTTGCGTAGTATTCAAAAATCGGAATTTTTTAAGGAATAAGTTGACATTATCTGTGATTGTATTCGGGTTATTATAAGAACTTTAAAATTTAATGTAGAGCTGCGAATGATCGCTCCCTTAGATGCCTGGCATTTAGCTTTGTGTCTTTTGCTGGAATAAAGAGCAACTTCACGATGATTAGTAGAATAGGTAACTGACGTGAAGAAAAGTATGTAAGATTCCGGTGTAAATTATGCAACGTTCGGATTGACCAAGGCAAATTACGTTGACTATCCTCATCGTATGGCGCTTGTTTGGTCTCCTACGGTAGCAGTCTCGTCCAGTTTGGTTTTTAGTGAACGTTTCTTATGAAACATTTATTTGCAGGTGCATTTCACCAGATGAAAACGCAAAAACTGTCCAAATGTGGGTATTTTACCAAAGGTAGTACACGCTTTCATCAAGACAAATATGGACGCAACTCATTACAGTGGTTTATGCAATATGTCAACACTCGTGTAAAAAGACAAATATTTATGACTTTTTTTAGATTAGCACATTATTTACTTTCGGTATTTAAACTGTTTAATAGAAAAGATATCTTAAGCTTTTCTGCAGTATGGCGTGCAGCCATTGACGTTTAAATCTCGACCTTTACATACGTTCATCCATAGCAGGTAAAATGTCAACGTGCTCCTTATTCTAAGACGACATGTTATTTGAGAAGTGATCGAACATCTCAGACTACCACCCAGTTTCCTAACTTAGAGTAGTGTGGCCAAAGATCTGAAATGTGGGTTCAATCAGGACTGTAATATTAATCATCATGCAATATAATCCAGCCAGTCTGCTGGCTTTTGTATGCCTTCCTTTAAGGCCATTTGCAACAATTTCAGTCAGAAAAAATGAAAAATTAAGCAGTGTCATTTTTACAGTGCTTTTTGATGCCAATAAAAATTTAAATATACGCTGTAAACAACAGGCAAAATATGCTTCCCTGTACTTATTTGATAGAAAGTCACAACTTCTTCAGGCCTCATACTCAGAGAAGTTACAGTTTGATCTAATAAGGGCTTTGATAATGGAGTATTTTAAGACTATCAAATGTTCATCACAATAGCATCGCTTTTGTCCTTGTATAAATGTTCCCAGCAAAGTCGAAACCACTGTCGATATCCATTGCGAAACGTTACGACACTCATGCAGTATCCTCTTAAAGGCATAGTCCGATACTTGATTTTTCCTGAATGAAAGGATTGCAACTTGTATTCTAGAAATGCTAAACGGAAGCGCTTCGGTTGATTGCAATTATTCGAGAGTTTGAAACTTTCAAAACTGAAAACTAACTCTTTTCTGAGTGCAAAACTTAAAAAAGACGTAATTTGCCACCAAATGGGCGCAAAGAGGATATTTTTGCCTTTTTCTATAAAGCGTATCTTAATTTATAGGGATATCTAAAATCAGCGGAAAAAATCAGAATAAGTTAGCTGATTATTTCTGCAGACGATCGTAGAGCGATACATTAAAAAGTCGGCATCCTGGCGTGGCTGCAAAAAGTCAACTCTACAATGCCACCTAAGTAATCCCTTCCAATCTAAAACATACAATAACCTCAGTTAATATTTCATAAGATACGCCACCCACTGAGAATCCCAAGACTACTTACTTAAACCAAAGTGGACATCAGATACAAGGTTTTTTGAACCGTTTTGGGGATTAGTAATTAGCAATAAACTGGTCATATGAACAATAGAAAAGCTTAAACGCTTTAAGCTTAATGTAAAAATAAGGCTCACAGAGCCTAGTTCTGAAAATTGCACATAATGATGGCCGTCTTCAGCTCTAAGTACACATTTCATTGAGGATCACCAAGGATTTGTCGTCTATGATCAAACTGATGGTTCAATTTCTTGTTTTCTAGCTTGTAATGTCATTAAAAAATTTTGCACACCCAAACGCAAAAACCAAATACGATAGTAACAACTTTATCAAGCTAAGGAAGCTTTTGTAACTTCATTTCGGTAGTCTAAACCTGCTTTCAGCAGAGTCAGATTAAACTTCTTTCGACATTCACAGACAATTGGCTTATTTTAATCCTGTGCAGGCCAGAATCTCGGATATGGGTTCGTGAACTACGTAAACGCGAAGGACGCTGAAAAGGCAATCGCAACTCTAAATGGTCTTCGTCTGCAAAACAAAACAATAAAGGTAAGCTCTCCCTCTAGTCATGTTTTTAATTGTTTTTTACTGATCTAATATAGGACAACAACACCTGAGCACTTTTCTCTTGGCGAAATTAGACCTCTCACGTTTCCTAAGAGGGATTATCGTGCAGGTCCCGCAGAAAAAGTGGGATAGACCCGTTTATATACTCGTCTTTCCTTCAAATTAGCCCAACTGGAGAGTTTTTGAGGGCAATACGAGCAAACGAGGATTGTGGAGCACATTTCGTCTGATTAGATTACCAATTATGCTTGAGGATAAAACTCGTTAGCGAGGGGGCTTGCACAGTGCGTAAACAACTTTGAAAACTCTGTAACTACCTGGTGTGTGTGTGTGTGTGTGACATGAGTGTTAGTCTGAATAGCGTTTATATATACCTCGGAAATTTATTGCTTTCGAGAATAGTTGGCCTTCGATCTTTTAAGTATGGAAAATTTCATAACTATGACGTTGGGATATCACTCCAGGGACTGCCCTCGTTAATCCTGGGGTTTCACAGTTCTGATTGTAAACTAATTGTATTTGTGCACTGTTTGCGAAAACAATGGTGACCCTACTGTCATAAAAACCCCCAATTACGGGGATTAGAACCTCGAGCAGCACAAAACACGCCCCTAAGTTTGGTATGTCCTTATAAAAGGCAGTGAGCAGTCTTGCATGATTTTGTTTTTGTTTTTAGTCGTCCTCCGCTCGGTCGTCATAAGGCCGGCAGTTATATCGCTAGACAGTCATCTGGTCACTTTGTTTAGGGTTGGTGTACTTGGCATGGCGTAGTAGTCCGAGTGGTTCTGGAAGTTGTCGACTTCTGTAGGTGCCTTTGAAGTGGCAAATGTTACTTTAAAGGTTGTCGGATATAGTGGTAACAAACAGCAGGTCGACACAGACAAAGGCCAAATTGGGACAACAACCGTTCCCGCCTTATTTATGCTCTCTTCACTTAGGGTTGCGCCAGAAATACCCCTATGCGCACATGTCTAGATATTTGCGGCATGATAGGCCGTTTTCCGTTTGTCGTGCCAATAGCCTATTTGAGACCTGTTTGATCTTGGAGGGCGAAAAGGACTGCATCGTCTATTCTTTTTGAGAACAAACATTTTGGCCAAAGTCGTGCGGTTAAAAGGTTTGATAGCTGCAGCGTTATTCAATACATCCGTAGGGTCTCTACTGAAGAGGAGATATGCAAGATTAACGTCTACGTCTCTGTTGATTGGCTGCGGATCTGGTTACTTTTTTACAACAATACCGGCCGGGTCGGGCTTTAGCAGATCGCGCTGTGCCAAGTTTATGGTGTCCCACCATTGTCGGCTGCTTTTTGAGTGTATTCTCGTTGTGCAGTCCACATTTTGCCATGCTTGCCTACGACACTCTCAAGACATCTTACTAGTTGAGGGTCACTTTCTTGCTGTCGATAATTATAATCTAAGATATTTTGTCGTGTGAACGGTAAACTGACTACATCACGCCCAACTCTTTCGGGAGGAAGACGGCATGATCGTTGGAAGCAGAGCTTTAGTAGTTTTATGTTTCGGACCTACATTAAAATCTATCATTCTAGATAAAATCAGACGAGGATAGTGTTTTTCACAAAGGTTACACTATTAATAGGGTGCAGTTACTATGCCACTACATACCTTCCAAAACTGGCGGCTTCCGTTTCCATCGCACGCGGTGCGATAACTGGCTGATTGTTCGCAGCTGAGTCGTTAATTACCGAAATCTCATCACTTTCTTGGGTTCGTTGGTAATTTTGATTACATAAAATAAAGCTAGAAACAGCGATCAGCTGTGCCTTCTCCACGTGGTTGATTACTTTGTAAAGACAAAATCTCAGCACAAAATATGGGGATGGAAGGCCGCTGCGTTTGTTAATTGACATAAGGTCAACAAACCGTGACTTGGGCAGCTGGCGACTCACGCGCTCGTCACCTCTCGCGATAGTTTCGGTCTTTTTGAATTTGAATGTGTGGCCGGGTGCAGCCGAATAGGCCACGATTTGTGAGCTGGTGTTAGTCCTCCTGACCGTTACTGCGCGCTCAGCGGCTTGCGTCCGGGGTAGTCTTACACAGTTCCTCCGACATAGTTATTTTACTCACAACTGCACCGGCCTCCGTAAACACCCCCCAGACGTGTCCGGCGTGGCAGCTGTCCTCTCGAATCCGAGGTTTGACGCCTAAAACCTCTGTGCAACACACCACTCAGTTAGTTTATTTATCGATGTGGTGCCGGCGTACAGAGCCCTGCGTGGTCCCCTTCAGTCTTACGCCATCAAACGATGATGTTGCTTGTTCTGTTGCTGTTACCATCTTTGACGGCGAGCTCCTGCATAAGTTCGAAAGCTCAGAACAATAAAAAAATGTTCCGGTGCTCGACCACAATTTTTCTTCGCTTATGCCTATCAGCCTTATCTGATTATGGATTCGGGTGCGTGTCAGAAACAACAGGCGAATAAAGTTCTTGTTTAAATGATCCTGTCTGGTTTTTCTGGTTGCTCTCCAAGACCCGTCCCTTCACTTCTATCGGCAACTCACTTATTTTCCTATGGGTGCAAAGAGAAACCAAGCTAGAGATCCCAATCCTCGACTTTGCACAACAAATAAACTAGGAGATAAGTTCATTTGCGCGCATTTAGGGATTCTAGCCTCCCTTCTACGACAGTCTGGCCAAAACAAGTTCCTGAAGTGTACGGGTACGCTCTTTCATGTTCGTTAGTCGGCAAAAGTGAAAAATTTCATTGCAGGAGCTAAACTTAATAGAGCATTAATACATGTAGGGCTCCCGTTGGAGTTTTGCATCAAATTAAACTTCGACTTCAATTTTTTGAATGCCAAAAGCGTCATTCAGGAAGAATAACTTTTAAGTTTAACATTCAATAACAGTGTGACTAAAGGTCCAATTCCTGCGTAATGCTCTCGAAACACCTATACAATAATGCCAGTGTCCTGACAATGTATGTGTTCTTATGAAGACGCCCTGACGCAATTAGGGAAAAACACTGACTGACGAAGAACGCATCTCGCATTTTCTTTCGCAGAATTTCTAAGTTTTGGAGCTTTCCTTAGGTTTTTATTTTCTTTTTTATACGCTTTATAATACAACTCTCGCACTCGAGTCCACTGTGCAAAGGGAATTGCGCCTTTTTATCGTAGAGCTTTTTGACTCGTTGTTTAGGTAGAAAGTTTGTTCCCCAGAGTTGCGATGCCATCGGAAGATGTCGTTTGCATCACATGTGTCTCCGCCCATGCTGAAGAGACCCGAGTATTGTGATCTGCGGATCCTTGGCTGACGCTTAAACTTCAATTTGCGAAAGAATTTTGAACGAGCAATGAAGAAGATCAGAGCAGTTTGTTTATTTTTCCGAGGCCTTAAACTCGTGCAAAAGGCAGCAACAACTGAGTAAGCAACAGTTGGGCCGGTAGCCAATCAGCGACCAGTGACACGAGCCTGATATTGACTGCGCAGATTTCTTCACGTCCGCGCCAGATCGATACATTGATTGACTGAGTTCTCATCAGACGCCCAGGCTCCAATCACTTTTTCTGCGTGAATTGCATTCGGTCGGGGCGACTGTCTTGGCGACGGCGAAGTTGAACTCATGGTTTGCTTTGGAGTTGCGGACAGAGACTTGCGATAATTCGTCACGCTGTTGCACAGCCAGCTTGTGAGTTCGGATATGTGCGACGGGAGTATGCGTTCAGCCCGAACTCCAGCAAGCGTTCGAAATTTCGGAACACATTTCCCCGTTGTTCGACCAGTCTTCATTTTCTTTACACATGCATAAACCTGGAATTCCAGCATTCACTTCCATTCGGGAAGTTTTAACTGCTGGCATCGAGCAACTATCGAATAATGTTTGCTGCACTCAGCGAATAGTTTTCACTGAACCGCAAGCATGTCGAAGTGAGCACTTCTGGTTTATCTGATGAGCTTAAATAGTTTAAAATCCCTTAACAAGGGTAGACGGACCGAGCAAGTTTGGAATTATGCCCACCAGTCTGATATTTCCATATTTATCGAAAGAACATTTATATGCTGAGGGCAGTCTAACACATACTGCTATTTCGTCCAAAAGCCGTCGCTGTTTTGATGCCATAAAACGCTTTCACTAATTTACTTTGAAATGACAACGGTTGCACACTGTTCGAAAGCTTTTCCTCTCTCCACGAGCCCGCTCACACTAATATAAGCGAAGAGGCGAGTTCCAGAAAACAGTTCAGAAAAAGAAAATGCGATCACTGGAACAAGAAGTTTGTTGGCCTGAATTTTCGGATTCTCACTCTAGTCCACCATCAGAGTCAGTCGCAGACAAGAATAGAGAAAGCGCAAAGGCTGCAGTATCTATAGTACGTAGCTGCCGTGATGCCACATGCGTACTTTAAGTAACAGCCCTCGTGATCACCGCTGGGGGTCGTAATTGATGCGATGATGACTCGTCAGTCCGCGTCCGTGCCAATGACTGTCGCAATTTCACTATCCGTGTTGGATGTTAACGTGATGATGGCTCGCAATTGGGTCCGCTGTCATTGGGATTGTTGCTCGCACGCGGACTGACTCAGTCTTGTGAGATGTACGCTGTCCAACCTCCGTTGTGTGAAATCCTAGTGCTTGCGTTTGGGAGGGGGGGCAGGTCGTGCATGTGGCATGAGCCGACAAGGTCAATAGATACGTCAGCCGCCGCGCCCATTCCCTTTACCTGTCAACTGACCGGCTCGGACAGTGACTGGGGTCTGGGAATGGAAAGGGATAGTGAGGTTGACAACTCAGCGCATTCTCCTCGCCATAAACAATCACGGTGCGTTAAAAGTCCTGCCTTGGAAGGTTACGTACTGACGGGATAACTTGGAACTCTCACTCGGCCCTGCGTTATATGTTTGTGTGTAGCGGCCGACTGGTGGTCTAAGAGTAAGGCTGCAGTAGCTCCTTCGTAATGTGACCCTAATGGCACTTCCCCTCCGTGCGATCCAAGCCAAAGTGTAATGGCACGCCTGGGTGCGGCTCCGGTCGCGCCAACTCCATCTGCTCTAGTTTGTAAAACTCCTAGTCATTTATTGTGTAGACCAGGAGGTGTGGAGTGGAACGCCAAGGTGTGGGCTCAACCTGACATCCACTTACGCCCTCTCCCGCCTCCGATCTTCTTGATCATATCTTGACACCGGGTGCAGGTGGGGGAGGAGAAGAGAGTGCGGTAGATGCTGTGCAAGTCTACTCTCACTAGAAACTAAATCACACGCCACTTACCGTCCTGCCCTTACCTTGCTGTGGAGCACACGGTAGACACCGCCAGAAACTACGGTCGAACAAGTGTTTTTGTTCCCAGCTGATAGTCAGCGTTGTGAACTGCTGAATGATAGGTCAGAATCAGCTCTCTATCCTACCACCCACATCTTCTATTATTCAACTTCTCTGCTCAAATTGCCTGTTTTTGACCAATACGGATAGATCAGTGAATAAGGCTGCATTTGGACAAGCGACCTTAATGACGACGTTCAGTTAGCGAATAACAACCTTACCCAAAGTAGTCTACAATATAGGATCCGACCTCATATTCTGCCTGCTTTTTAGAGAAAATTAATAATTTTGGCAATTCTGGTGAGGAAAGAGTCTTACCTGGGGCAGTTGGGGGAGAAGGGGGGGGGCAGGCACTCCCATCCATTCCACTTCCGTTTTGCATATTGTGCTCCACCAGAGGAACGACATAAAGATGAACCGGTTTCGCGTGCCTTTATTCCACACCATTGCTTTTGTCTTCTGCCTCAGTTCAATGAAAACAATAGCGCCTGTCTGCCAATCCTGCTATGAGCTGAAACGAGCGATTTGATCTAAAAAAATGATGAGATAACATTGCACAGTACTCCTGCCTGCCGTTTCTGTGTTTTGCGGCTAACTATATGCATGGGAGATCTGTTCTCTATGTTATGATCGTCACCGCAAATTCAGGTTTTAGGCACAAACCAGTAACTTGACTTTGACATGCCAGAACTACAGCTCAAATAACAAACTTAAAAAAAAAACAAACTTTGTAGTGAGGTTTTTGGATCGAAAGAAAACTGGATAACGTTATTGCGTTCAGGTTATCGTGGCCTGGTTTTCCATGAACCTGCATTATTTTGATAAAAGAACCAGTTTCACTATAGCAAAATAATCTATTCAGTTTCGATGGCTCTTTCGACTAGATAATTGTCATTTCCGTTTACTAAGCTCGGAAGATTGGTACTTAGGTTTGATTGGCCTGGAAGAGACTCAGGACAGTTGGTCTTCACCACTAACATCAATAAGTGTCGAAACTCGTGAATTTCTGACCAAAATTACTAACCTGCTTTGCAAAGGAAAACAGGACCTAGGTGTGCTTGTGAGGCTATTTATCTAGTACACAAGTTAGAATCCATGTTACGCTTTCATGGTGGATTTGCTTTCTATTCATATAAACTATATTCAACCGGAACTCCCTTAGTTAGAAGTTTTTGTTACTGAATATCGATACCAACGTTGGCTGTGTCTTGATTAATACAGTGCGTGACCTATCTCATGAAATGTTGGCTGAAATTCTGAAATGCGTTTTCGATTAGTAAGAATTACTTGGTCGCGGTTGTTATACTGATTATCTTAAGGCATACTCTTATAACACTTTTGATTCGGCAAGATGTCGGCTTTTAAATGCACTTCTTTTTAATCTCCTGTAGAAAGCGTGCTCGGTAAAAAATGACTACTTAAGTAGCACGCATTTTTCCCATTGATTTTCGATGGTCTTGGAAATTCAAATATATTTTATAGAAACCAGAAACAAAAATATGTTTTCTTTTAGTCAATCAATAGAGAATCACGTCTTCTTTATATTTTATACTTAAGGAAGGTGTTTAATTAGGTTTTAAAAAAGTTTCCTAATTGTCGAATAATTTGAAGCCTGATCATTTGTTACATTAGCACTTAGTGATTACACTCTACAAGGTGCATGCATTCCGCGTAAAGAAAATCACATATTTGTCTATGGCATTAAAGAGATATCATACAGGGTCCATAAAATTTTGCAATGGATGCGGACCATGTTATACATTTCATGAGGAGCGGTGGTAAATGGCCAGGTACGATGCTATGTGAATGAACATTTCGCGGTCATAAGAAGTCTCATAATTAGAAACTTTTTTAAAACCTACTTATACTCCTTTCTTAAGTATAAAATATAAAGAAGACGTGATTCTCTATTGATTGACTAAAAGAAAAAATATTTTTGTTTATGGTTTCTATAAAATATATTTGAATTTCCAAGACCACCGAAGATCAATGGGAAAAATGCATGCCACATAAGTAGTCCTTTTTTGCCGAGCACTCTTTCTACAGGAGATTGAAAAGAAGTGCATTTAAAAGCCGACATCCTGCCGAGTCAAAAATGTTATAAGAGTATGCCTTAAGATAATCAGTGTCACAACCGCGACCAAGTAAACCTTCCTAATCGAAAACGCATTTCAGAATTTCAGCCAACATTTCATGAGATAGGTCACTCACTGTAATAGAGTTTCAGCTAAGAACGCATACATTCCTTCTAGCCATTATGCTCTTAATTACATCTTAAAATATTTCAATGTGTTGTCACTTCGTGTAATCTTTTAGTCTTTTAGTGAAAATACTGAGTCCACGATAAGTTTTTTTATACTTGTCAGCTTTTTGGGAATTGGACAACCTTTTTCAGGCATATCTGAGGGAGATGCAGTCTTCCATTGCATAATTAAGCAAAAGCAATTTACATGTCATGCATACATCATATGACTAAATTTATACAGGCCTCGAAAAAACAATCCACCAGGTTATTGATCCGTCCTGCGGTGTACTTTGGTCGTGCGGTCACAGTGCTACACAGATTGAAGCCGTCAAGCTATTTTGAATAAATATACATAGAATTGTGTCCTTATCTCATCAGTTATTTAATCAGTTGACTTCTGCATTAGAGGCTGTATCGAAGAGTGTCCGGTAGTTGCTATGATATTTTGCCCATGCTCTATTTATGCGTCAAGATATTTATATTATAAAACAGTTGGGCTTATAATGCGTGCTGTCTTTCAGTTTCATAACAAGACTTTTTTACCTCTCAAAATGTATGCAATGTTCATAGTGATCTAAAGCCACGCCAGAGTGATTTGAGTCACGATTATCAAATCCGTCCCTTCGATATATCAAAGACTTCCGTCTACGTTTTAGGAAGAAGTGTATGTTGCCCATAATGGCATTAATGGCCACTAAGATTTTTAAATTGGGTTTATATCATGGGCTTATTTAGGTTTTTGGCCTTTGTAATACCGTTCTTTACAATGATCACGGAGAACTGAACGCAGCTTCATCCACCTTTGAAGTTCATGCGGCACATAAGCAAGATCTAAGAGCAAAGGCGCAGGTTGGTAGAGTCTCCCCGAAAAAAACATTGCGAGCAGCTCCACCGGCAACTAGCTTGGCATTAGGACAGCCATTTCTGATCCGTTTATTGTCAGCAGTTGAGAATATCGCAGACTAGGTTGAGTATGTCTACGAAATTCAAACCGCATGTCGTTTGGTCATACAGGCAGACACCAACCATTTAACTAGGCATTTGCATCATTTCAACCAAGATCATCAATAGATACCCATGCGGATGCGTAGTGAGCTGATAAGACAGCAATGGAAAATTCCACTTCTTCCATCTCAGTGGCTACAGCCCATACATATTCCCACGAATTTCTGCTCATCCGATAAGTTAGATCCGTGCACTCCGTCGCTCACATTTAAATAATTTTATTTCGACTTTAAACCACCTGTCAGTTTTTCAGACAGGTGCATTTATTGCATAAGAAAATGGACAATAGTAAATGCGCACTTCGAAGAATAATTTGTCGTTCCGTCGGCTGGCACTTATAGTGTGTGACCGATCTCATGAAATATTGACGGAAATTCTGAAATGCGTTTTCGATTAGGAAGGATTATTTAAGCGCGGTTGCAAAACTAATTTTCCTGCGGCATAATTCTATAATATTGTGGACTCGGCAGGACGTCAGTTTCTGAATTCACTGCTTTTAAATCCCCCGTAGAAACCATATTTGGCAATAAATGACTACTTAAGTAGCATGCACTTTTCATATTGATTTTCGATGGTCATGCAAATTCAAGTATATTTTATAGAAACCACAAACAAAAATATGCTTTCCTTCAGTCGTTTGATAGAAAATCACGTCGTCTTTATAATTTTTGTTCGAAGAAGGGGTATAATTATGTTTTGAAAAAGTTTTCAATTATGAGATTTTTCAAGACCGTGCAATGTTTGTTCATACAGCATCGCACTTGTCTGTTTACCACTGCTCCTCATGAAATTTAGAACACGGTCCGCATCCATCGCAAAATTTTATGAGCTCTACGTGATATCTTTTAAAAGGAATAGAAGAATCTGTTAGTTTCCTTACGGGGAACACATGTACCATGTCGACTGAAATAACTAAGCACTAATACAACGGCTGGTAAGGCTGCAAATTATTCGGGAATTATAAAACTTTTTTAAAACCTAATTATACTCCGTTTTCGGGTATAAAATATAAAGACTATGCGATTCTCTATCAAACGGCTGAAAGAAAGGATATTTGTTTCGGAGTTTTTACAAAATATATTCGAATTTTCAAGACTATCAAAGATGATTGTGAGAAATGCATGCTACTGAGGTAGTCATTTTTTTACCGATTGCAGTTTCTACATAACATAAAAATACGGAGTATTCAAAAGCTGACATCCTGTTCAATCCGAAATACATTGGGACCATGTCCCATGCTAATGCGTGTTTCAATCCTACCTAATTAAACCTTCCTGATCGAAAACGCATTTCAGAATTTCAGCAAACATTTAATGAGATCGGTCACTCACTGTAATTTAAAAACGGTGGGGTGAAGAAGCCCACTTAACTGTTGGCTGAGTGTGGATCGTGCCGGATGAGATTTAGCCTTAGCATCCATTTGCCGGCCGTTGCAGACATTACACCACCAACATCGACTACTTCCCATGAATTCAAGCCATTACTCAAACTCCGTCATCTTCTGCAGTTTGAGTGGCCGATTTCATAAAACGTTGGCTGAAGGAACGAGTACTTGAGCGCAGGTGCATAACTGATTTTCTTGCGGCATAATTCTATAATATTTCGGACTTGGCAGGACGTTAGCTTTTGAATACACTGCTTTTAAATCTCCCGTAGAAACCGTATTCGGTAGGAAATGGCTACTAGAGTAGCGTGCATTTTTTGCAATGATTTTCGATGGTCCTGCAAATTCCAATATAATTTTTAGAAACCACAAACAAAATATGTTTTTTTCAGGCGTTTGATGGAGAATCATGTCGTTTTTATATTTTATGCTCGACGAAGGGGTAAAATAAGGTTTTGAAAAAGTTTCTAATTATGAGAATTTTCAAGACCGTGCAATGCCTATTTATACAGCATCGTACCTGTCTGCCTTTCACTGCATCCATTGCAAAATTTTATGGGTCCTATATAGCATCTTTTTAAAGACATAGAAGAACATTTGATTTTCTTTACGGCGAAAACATGCACCTTGAACACTGAACTCACTAAGCGCCAATGCAATGGCTGATCAGGTTTCAGATTATTCGGGAATTTAAAAAGTTTTTAAAACCTAATTATACTTATTTTTCGAGTATAAAATATAAAAAGATGTGGTTCTCTATCAGCCGACTGAAAGAAACCACATTTTTGTTTGTGGTCTCCATAAAATATATTTTGATTTTGAAGACCATCAAAAATCATTGTAAAAAATGCATGATACATAAGTGGTCATTTTTTACCGAGTAAGGCTTCTCAAGAAGATTAAAATGCAAAGTATTCAAAAGCTGAAACCCTGGCAAGTCCGAAATCTTTGAGGATTGTGTCCCATGATAATGAATATTTCAACCCTACCTTAGTTACCCTTCTTAATCGAAAACACGTTTCAGAATTTCAGCCAACACTTCATGAGATCGGTCACTCACGCACCCGTTTCCCTTATCATACGAAAACTTATGATATGACTTTCGTCAGAAATACCTACAAATAATATCTGTTGTTTCTTTCATTTCGTCAGCCTACTGTTTGGTATGCTGCCTCACTCGTAAAACCCTCATCGCCACCATACCCGTATGGCACGAACCACAGTCTACTGACAATAAAATGAGGTCCCTCACCCCAGCTTTGCCTTAATTTTTTCCCTTTTGTAAGCATCATGTAAAAATAGGCAACTTAGGGGCATTAAAATGACAGGGACTGATATCTGACAGAAAACCTTTTTTGTTTTCATCGCCTGGTTTAAATCTGATCATTCTCATTCTTCTAGGCAGCTGCGAGACCCATATTCACACATTCGACTTCCCTAAAAGTCTGTGATATGAGGTTATTGGACTCTTTTGTTAGGCAGATTACTAGAAGGCATTATGGAGGCGCGCGAACGTTTTCCTTCGAGGATGTTGAACCCTTGAGAGAATTTGCATACATGGTTCGCAACAGAAGTATGCATATGGGCATTTTTGAGGGAGGCCAGCTCGCGTCTGGTACGCATAGGCGGGCTGCCTAGCCACTGTGCCCTTTCTCTGTTTCGTCGCACGACGCAGGTGAGTTACGAAAGGTAGAGTGCGGTGGATGCAGCGCAAGTCCGCTGTCCTAATCGCTGCATCTCCGTCTAGCTTGCTATAGGGCACACGGTGTTCATCGTAGGAAACGATGGTTAAACTGCTAAAGAAGGCCAGAAAAGCCGTCATCTTAACAATTCTCACAATAAACCTGGGTGGGGGAAGGGGAGCGAACCATAATATTTGTCCGAAGATGTAATGCACCGCCGACAATTCTAGATATTATCAAATGCCTGATGAAGATATATACCCGATCACTCGCGAACTCATTGATTGGGCACTCACTTTGTAAATTGTACTGGGTCTAAATACACATCTGTAAATCGGGTTAAACTAGAACTCGCGCCTGCATATTTGCCACGATTTTTTGATATTTCAGCTCCATGACACCACACTGTCTTTTTCAGCAGTATCTAGGAGGCCCTGCAAACTTCCTCACTGTTTGTATATTTCATCTGGCGCATGCATTGAATTATTAGATCGCACATAAGTGTTGATTCTTCACCCCGCATTTGGCTGTAGACCGGCCGAAATGCCTGCGATACTGTCCACTAATGGGGGATTCCATTTTCGTGAGTGTTGCGCAGTCATGCCAGCAGAATTTTATAGTGCAGGAGATTTGGGGTTGGACTGAGGTGTCCACTTTAAACTGTACAATGGGTCAGGCATCAGTGATCAGATAAAACGCTGGCATTGGTGTCTACCAGTAGTTGGGACGTGCACGCAACTCTTTCCAGCATTCGTTGGGGGGTGCTCTCTGGGTTGACCGCTTCAGCGCGCATGCGCGTCTGTACGGCGGCGTTGGCGGCGATTGCTGGCCCCTGCATTCGGTATCTTTGATCTTGGATATCCCACTCTGGCCACCATCGCCATCACCACCACCACCACCGCCGCCGCCTCCGACCTCAGCAGCATCGGTGCAGTGAGTAGCACGATCAGTAGATCGGCGTTCTGCCCCTGGGCAGGAGAGCAGAAGCGATCGGTGGGTGGGGGGGGGGGAAGCCGAGTGAGAGTCGAGCCAACTTAACCATCATGGACTGCAGCGATGGCGAATGTTTGACATTTACTCCTTTTGTATATGTCACTGCCCCTCTGCTCGAGAGTTGGACCCCTTCGAAGTCCCAGAATTGGAACTATTGCATGCAGCTCAGAAGCATGTGTCTTTATCGCCCCGAGAGGGCCGCCTTTCGCCAGACTGCTCTGTCCCATGGAAGTGGACTAATATCATCGTCGATGCTATCTTTATGCTAAATGATGGCATATCCGATGCCGTGGCTGCAATTATTTCCTCCCTCATTTTGAGATGACATTTTGCAAAAGAAGAGCTTAAAGGCGAAGAATCGGTCATTTATGCATTACTGTGGCATGACGGTTCGTAAGCGATTAGCACATCAAGGGTTTTAGCTGATGACGCCATCGCTGGGAAAGGAAGTTTATCGGTCCGACGTTCCGGATTTTCTCTCGAATCCATCGTCAGAGACAGTTGCAGAAAATGATGATTGAGACACAAGAAGTGCAGCATTGTCGGGCCAGTTGTCACGCGACTACATACCTACTACAGTTATTAGCCTTCGCTCTTATCGCCGCGGGTCATGTATGTAGAATGATGATTTGGTAGTCCGCATCCGTGTTGTTGGTTGTCGCAATTTCACCGTCATTGTTGATGTTCGGCGTGATACTGACACGGCAATTTGGCTCACAGTCACTGTAACTGTTGGCTGCCCGCGCCGTCCCGTGTGGCTAGTTACTCTGTTCACGAAAACTCGCAGCACATAATATGGGGACGGGACCGATTGGAACCGATTGCGGGCAGGAGAAACATCGCCCAAGCGACTCGCGACTCACACGGTTGTCATCTCTTCCAAGAAGTTGAGCACCATCAAACTTGAAGGTATGGATGCATCGGTTAAGTATGGCACCTGCGTCACTTTTGCGTCCATCACCCTTGTCTGTGACTGTCTCTGATGATGGTTTCGAGTGAGATTCCGAAACGTCCGGCTGATTAACTCCTTGATCCACTTTTTGCCTATTCTTCCTCTGAATAGCCCTCTGGAGTTCGCCTCTACAAATCTATCTGCAGTTAAAGGCTTACTGGCCTTATCTAGCCAGCCATACCCCAAAGCAGGATGGTTATGACGTGAGGTTCAAACAAGTCTGTCATTGGGCTGAATATTTTGCAATTTGGGTCACTGCCTCACACTGCCGTAGTGGTGCGGTATGATGCAACACCAACAGCATTAACGGCCGGTCTGTTAGTATTTGTGAACAACAATTGCTTGCTAATCGACATCATACGAGAATGCGGGGACCAAACAGACAGACCAAATTGCATTCTATACTGTAACCGTTACCTGCTTTTCCAACTTCATATACTGGGTCAGTTTACCAGAACGATCATGTGCTCCATGTGTACTCATCCGCGACAAGGTAATGCCATGCAAGGACTGTAAATCAATGAGGAATGGGCGCACACCGTTCTATTGGCTTCACGAAACAAACAAGCTGCGTATGTGTGGCAAAGGTCACGAACAGGCAACCAATTACCAGGCCGAAGTCGGCCAAGTCATAATTGCAGCAGGAAGGGACGACAGAGATCAACTGCGCCAGGTGCGTCTGTGCGCATGTTTGTGTTTCTGGTACCAGCTGCTGGTGGTCAGGGTTATGACTGGCTGAATGAAGGCACAATAAGACCGAAACAGTACTGTATTAATCTACCCACATACTCTGTCGTCACACCTCGCTGCTATTATGACTTCGGCCTGGTAATTGGTTGCCTGTTCGTGACCTTTGCCACACATACGGAGCTTGGTTGCTTCGTGAGGCCAATAGATCGGTGTACGCCCATTCCTGATTGATATATATATGTGAAAAAAGGAGAGGTTTTTCAGAAATATCGAGTTGCATAAGTTGTACAGCTCGATGTTCCCGAGGAATATATTCCTTTTTTCATCAAGTCGACCCGGAAGGCACAAGACTTCTGATCTACATATACTAGAAGGCTTCTCATTGTTTTGGCTATGTTTGCGCCAACTCTGCACAACAGCCGAAGGAAAGAGACAAGCATGAACGGTAGAAGAAAAAGACAGTGAAGAGTTAGACGTAAAGTGTGCATGCTGCTCAGGTAGGTTCGTACGTCGGGTCTTAGGTTTCTCGGTGTTCTACGCCCTTGCAGCTCATGGGACTTCACATAAAAATTCTTGTTAGCACAAAAAAAACAAAGTCTGCTGAAGCCGCATTTAATAAATTGCTATTTACGACAAAAGCAGAAGAAGGAGGTGCGATCGCTAGACAAAAGACTTTAATTCGTCAAACGTTTCGGATTCTCAGCCGAGTCCATCATCAGAGACATACGTAGATAGTGATGATGGACACACATGGGACGCGGCATATTATAGAATGTTTTTATTTTATGACAACATGCCTATCCTCATCAACAGCCCCGCATTCGTCACGGGGGGCACTATTTGGTGCGTAACTATTTACTCGCTCTCATTCAAGCAAAGGGGACCAGAAGGACGTCCATTCTAAAGCCAGCATCTTGGACTGGGACCATGCTCCATGCCAACAAATCAAACAACCTATCCTAAGGGGTCCTTTCGTACTGAAAGCGTATTTTAGACTTTCAGTTAGTGTTCCGTGATTAAGGCCACAAGCTGCACAGCAGCGATTGGTTGGCGCTGGATTTCTGAACTGACCTACTCGACAGAGGTGGGTCGTAAGTGAAAATGACTCTCCGTGAAAGTGCCTCATAGCCTTTTACCATATGCAGTCAGTTCCATTAGGTGATTAAAATTCCTTCCCCCTCAGCTCTGACAGCTTCCTCATTGGGTCAAAATTTGTCACTTGACATGGGACTTCTGTTTGCAAGCATCTTCTTAATAATTTTATTTAACTCAAGGTTTCCATGGCGCGACCCAGCTCGGAGTCCATCAAAGGAGCCAATTTGTACATTTCCGGTCTACCAAAGTGGCTTACGCAACAGGATCTGGAAGAACTCTTCACGTCCTGTGGCCGAATAATCACGTCCCGCATTCTCTATGACAATAACACTGGTAGGTGCAGCCAATTACTGTTTCCATTTTGCTAATCATCTAAAGAACTCTGGACAGAGTAATCAGTTCGCTGGGGAAAGCCCAGCCGCCTTCTTTTTTACGTGACGCTTAGGGTCTGAAATTATTGCTGAATTATCATGTGGTAGAATGTGGATGTTCGGAGGTTTGGCAGACAAAAGAGCAGCTGAATTCCACTCCAACGTAATTAGGTCGTTTCATTTATATACATGGGCTTCTGCCACACCCATGTATTTGCATTGCCAATGCAAATTCAAATCTGAGCCTGATTTCTTATTGGTTCTGTGCGTGAAAATGGGTAAGATGTATCACGATTTAGACGGCAGTGTGTGTCCACCTCGTGATCTAGCTCATGAAATGTGTTGAAATATACGAATGATTGTTCATCAGCCTCAGTTCGACAACAATGCGTGAACCCAGTATCTATATTAATAAATAACTTAAAGGGGATTTAAAAAATAAAATAAGTATTAAAGGCAATTGCACGTTATTTAGGGATGCCGAAGCATTTTTTGGAATGGCGGAAAGTCCTGAAAATATCAAAAATAGTTGTAAATTAGTAAGCTTCGAATTTATATATATGTAAAATCTGTCCAGGAAAAACGCTAAGTAAACACAAATGCGCAAATAAAATAACCTCTGTAGGTAATCTTTTAGGGAAGTCTACACTTAAATATCTTTTGCGAGTTAGTGCAATTTCAGGTCTGTTGGTTTGAAAACAGTCTTTATTACGAGTATAGATTCACCAACGGTTTCTAGAGCGTTCGTTATGTCTTTTATGCTGCAATACGATTTACTAAGTCAAACAGGTTTTGGCTTGATCTCATCGATAGGAAGGTTATGGGATATATGTGGCCAGGAATGTCAGTAAAAAAGAAGTTTAAATAAAACTAACAGACGAAATCTTTGGCATAGAGTTTTGTGTATATATCAAGGATTGTTCTTCCTTGAAATTAATTTGCCCATTTTGTTTTTTGGTCTACGCTGAGTTTTAGATCCGCCTGTAAATATCGCCTAATACGTTCTAATTTTCCTATTTTCCAGTCAATTGCCCATAATGACAGATTCTATATAATGTGCTTGTTAAAACCCTAAAAATAAAATACGCGTTGGAGGCATTTACCGAAGTAATGAGTATTTAGGCATCCGTTGTCATGTAAAAGTTTCTTTTGGCCAAAATTGAAGGCTCACCCAAACAAAAGACCTCAGAGTTGACTAAAATGGACTTCCACAACAAAAGTCAGCAATGATTACAATTCCGATCAATTAGAAAAACCCTTTAATAAGTCACTGTTTAAAGAGTGCTTTAGTACTATATTTCGTCGACGGATGTCTATGTACTAAACATTTTCACATGGCGACGTCAAGTAAAACTTTGACTCTTCTAGCTGCTTCGTTTTAGGTTGCTAATATATTAATATTTTTCTGCCGCAAACGTAAAATATGCTCTCTTTTTTATGTTGAATGCGGAGCAGAGTGGCCACATAAATACCAATATTTTGCTGAACCTGTCAACGTATCGCCCTTTCATTCCTAAATTGCGTATATGCAGAGTAGACTGCATGAAAAGAAAGGTTTCATATGTTCAAATCTGAAGATGACTTTTGATGATAGTCACTCTGAAGTAAAAACATAGACGTTTGCAAACGGCAAGACAACTTCAGTTTTTCTAACCAAAAAGTTGCTTTTGTGCCTTATTGCCTCACTTTCTGGCGTTCAATCGCACCAATATGCTAATCCGACTTTTATGAATCGATAAAACGCCTGGTTCTTTAAAAATAACCCGTGTGCTAGTAAACTGATTCCAACGGTTAGCATCGGTCAAAAATCAATTTTCAAGTTCGGAGAGTTATGTTATATAGAACCCTCGGGGGTAAATTACTCTCCTCTCAAAGGAAAACATGCTCCGATGCGCAACCGAAGTCTAGAACAAGTATTAGTATGAGAGAATCCCCAACCGTACCACAACGTCTATTTTCACCGAAATTTACGAACATGTTGCCTGATAAAATTACATGGACGCATCTTCTGTACAGAAGAAGGACAGTCTTTAAATGGACTGGACGAGCAAGCAAAATGTGCCACGCTAAAGATTTCCGAAAATCCTCATATCGGTTTTTGTAACCAGGCTTCATGAATTCGGTCACAAACTGCAGCGAGAGTCATATCTTGTGTTATTCGTTACCCATCGGGTGATTTAATCGTTTTTTTTTAGAGATTTAAATTGCGCCCACTAGTAGACTGGAGTCTTTCATTTAAGTTGGGCATGCATCTAGCCATTTGTTATACATACGGCTTTGATGGATTAAACGCAATTCCCAAAAAGAACAATAATTATGCCGGTAAAGCGGCCTTCATTGTTCGTCAAATGCACACGCATACCCACTGTACGCTTCTTTAGAACACTGGCTATTGTATATAAGTCCAGAATACGTTTTAATTCTGGATATCTCTGCGAATGCCAAAATAAATGCAAATAAAATATGAGACGGTCCAAAATTCTGAAAAGATCTTTTCTTACCCAAGCAGACGGACATTATGACGACAAACAAAATGCAACTCGAAAAGTTAACAATGCTTCCCTTTTTTATCGTGGCTTATCTATTAAGTGTAGAGTGCGTGACCGATCTCATGAAATGTTGGCCAAAATTCTGGAATGCGTTTCTGATTGGGAAGGATTACTTAAATGGGGTTGTTAAATTGATTATCATGCAGCATAATCCCATAACCTTTTGGAATCGTCAGGATGTCTGTTTTTGGATGCTTTTCTTTTTGACCTCCCGCTGAAACTACACTGGGTAAAGAATGACTACTTAATTAGCATGCATTTTTCCTATTGATTTTCGATGGTCTTATAAATCCAAATATATTTTACAGAAAAGATCACATTGTCTTCATATTTAATGCCCGAAAAATGTATATATTTTGGCTTTACAAAGTTTATAACTGTGATATTTTTGAGACCATGCCATGTCCATGCATGCAAGACTGCTCATGTTCGTTTACTAATGCTCCTCATGAAATGTACAACACAGTCGGGATCCATTGTTAAATTTCATGACCTCGATGTAATATCTTCTTAAAGGCATATAGGAATATATGATTTCTTTGCGCGGAAAGCATGCACCTTGTAGACTGAAATTGCAAAACGCTGATGCAATGGAAGATCAGGCTGAAAATTATTCGGAAATTTGGAAACTTTTTGAAAACCTACATACACACTTTCCTCGGACGTAAAATGTGAAGATAATGTGATTTGTTATCAAGGGAGTAAAAGAAAGCATATACTCTCCATCCAATATATTTGAATTTATTAGACCATCAAAAATCAATAAGAAAACTGCATGCTACTCAAGTAGTCATTTTTACCGAGTGTAGTTTCTGCGAGAGGTCAAAAAGAAGAGCATTCAAAAGCTGACATCCTGGCGAGTCCGATAGGTTATGGGATTATGCTGCATGATAATCAATCTAACAACCCCACCTAAGTAATCCCTCCTAATCTGAAACGCATTCTAGAATTTTGGCCGACATTTCGTGAGATCGGTCACGCACTGTAGGTATTCTTGAGCAATGTCGACACATTCACCGATTAATTCGTCTCGATAAATTCTCTACCGAGGAGGAACGTGGAATAAGGGCCGTTCAGGACTCAGTTGCACGGTCCCAGTCGTTTTCAAAAGGAGCAATAATTATGCCGGCCAACTAGCTTTCATTTTTCGGCGAATGTGCGCGCGTACCGACTATAAGCTTTTTGGAAACAGCGGTTAGAGCAAACATGTCCTTGGTATAGGCTCTAACCTAAGATGCATTTGTTGACCCCAAAAGTGATCTGCAAATACGCATAAGGTCCTAAAAACTATGCCGGACAAGCATTAGATAACGGGTCATTAATCGGCACTTTCTGCAAGGTTTGTCCACGTACAAGCGCTTGATGTTTAAAGTACGACCCTTAAAGTACCTTCTATCGTACCCATGAGAAGAAAATCATACTTTAATTCCTGCTTGCAATAGCAGCATTTGCACATAAGCGAATGATCTGTGAAACGGTTGAACGTGTCAAAATAACCTCTTCTTACCCGGAGCAACAGAAAGTACGACGACCAGTAAAATGAGACGCGTAAGAAATTGTTGGCATTGTACAACGTGTACAATATCAAACCGATTTAATGCTTGCTGAAAGCGTCTTTTAACGATGCTAGTCAACGGTCAATTGTCTCGCGTTGGCAACTATTCAACGGTGCAACAACGCCCAGTTCTCGGGCAAGGATTCTTTTGTATCTAGCACACTTTAAGTTGCCTAGTCATTTGTCCGGCGAAAACGTCATTTGACTTCAATAATGACAGAATATTGTCTGGTAGTTGAGTTTTTTGAAACAGGTTTCATATGAGATTAGGGCTAACGCAAGATCTATAACAAAAAAGGCCAGATTTAGGCAAAATCGAGTCGTCTGTTACACGTAGTAAGTTATTGATATTTAAGGGTCATGTAACTCACTAAAGTTTGTTCCGAACTTTGAAAACCTGCGAAAAGCAATCCTCGAAGGTGAAGACAGTAATGAAGGGGGAACAGAAGTATATGTGATCAAGGCTGTAGGGTGGTACATTAAGGTTGAAGTGTCATCGACATCCGGTGAATTAACTCATAGGCTTCCGATTGGCCAAGCAAAATCCTCTGGCAGTTCGTGTCTGGCCAAGGAAATGTCGTCGACTCCTGAACTGGCACCTGGAATGCGACCAGTACGCGTTGTTTCAATCATTGTAAATGGTAGACTGCAGTTTCTAAATTACCGTTAGTTTCTTACGACTCATGTAGAAATATATTTTGTTTACCTTACTCCAATAAAAAAACTAATTATTTTACATAATAAAAAAGTAGAGTTCCTCAAGGACAATCTGGAATTATAATTACGAAGGACATGTTAAAATTTTCCAGTGGAGTTGTTCCACATGCTTCCTTAAAGGATTGATCTACGACAGCACCCCGCTAACGGGAGCCACCCACTGTTGACGCGTTCATACGCAGAACGGGGGGGTGGACTGGTTTCCCCACTATCTGCTTCGACTTCGAGCTAGTGTCTGTCGTGTTGGTGATTATCAGCTTGTGAGTATTCTGCTGCATTATTTGCGATGTATGGCGCTGTCTCCCTGCCTTCTGTAAAACATTTTAAAAGCAAATGTGTACGTGTTCCTCTTTAGTATGATCTCCATGGCACTCCTATTCAGGTGGGGCCGGGGTGCGGGGGTCCTCCTCGTTCTGTGGGAACCCCCCCCCCATTTTGGGGGGGGGGGGCAGGTTGCCTGTGGCATACAAAGTTTGACTGTTTATCTTCGTCAGGCTCGAGCCCGGCTCCGTTCGTCTTGGCTCTGTCCTGCCAGCGTGTTCAGATAACTGGGGTAGAAGACAGTGTGGAAGATGATGCGTTAGTCTGTCATTTCTATAATCTAATCCACGCGCAAGTCAGCGTCCTGTGAAGCCCACTGTTGACCTTGTAGTTCGCGACGGCCAAACTGTCCAAATGTACCCACACATTGACGCCCGTGCTTGAAATTCACTTCACAAATCTCACTTGTTTACAAAATCTGAACTTTAAGTGCAGCATGAATCGATGCTGGCTGTTTCAAACTGTATTAGTTCGGTGTATCTTAGATTACTCAAAAAAGGCTTTCGAGGGAATTTAATTACTCAGAGGCGGGTGTGATGCTTGTCGTTCTACTCGAAGAGTGATAAACTACGACGGCATTAAGAGACTTTTAAGCCAGTTAGACGGGTATCGCAACTTCCATGCACGGCACATCCCAGCTCGCATAGCGGTGAATCTGGTAAACAGCATAAAGTTTTGCAGCTACATTTTGTCGATCAGTTTATTGTGTCTCGTGGACTTGTCAAAAACAATGTTCCTCTGAGAAATTTTACTGTCTTCATTCTAATCGGCATATTTTAAAACTGCCGCATCAAAGAACGCGCTTATTACTTAAATGTTGTTAAATGAAACAACTTATTTTGTATAAAAACAAGTTTTCCCGTAAACGCTAAACCAAGTTTATCTTTCTGCTGGCCTATGCTTTTTAAATATTTTACATGAAACAAAATCTTCCTTAAGCAATTAAAAGCCACCCGCATCAACAGTTTTCAATCGGTGAAGCTCTTGCTGTGGGTGCATACAATGGACAATTACGAAAGAAAAACTGCATCTGTTAATGTAAGCAAATTCATAAAACATTAATTAAAGCTTGCGCAATTTCCAGTTAGGGCTTAAGAGAATAGAGTTGATAAGATTTCTGTTTTAAAGCAAAGTGCAAACCTTTGAATTCAGTCTCGCACGTGTGCATGTCTGAGAGAGTAAAAAATGTTGTCCTCATTCAATGGTTGCTTGCATTTCGGATTAAACTATATGCTGAAAGGCCTATAGTCTCCGACATCCTCTGTGCCCATTGTAAGAAGGCCCATAGTCACTTTTTCTTATTTATAATCTCTCTCCAGGAAACGCTATTTGCCCGCCCTCTTGGAGTCTTTTTTTATAACGGATACATCACTACAACTTTGGAATAAATCCTAATGGCTGTGCCGAACGCGATGGGATATGCTACTTTGCCACGTCTATGTACCTTAAAAATTGTGTCGAAGTACCTCTAACAGCATTTGATTTTTATAGATATCTTACCGATCCGGTGGCGGTGGGAAAAGCATACGTACTTTTCTTCCATGGAGGTTAAATCAAGAGAACTTCCAAGTGTTAACTGGCTAAAAGTAATCGGCACTACAAAAGAGTCACCAAAAAAACAAAGGAAGCAAACAGTGTTTCTGGCTTTTCGTCTTCATCGGCCAACCATGAAGTGTCTCGTAGCAGAGGAGAGCACAATTTTGAACCTCGATAGGATTTTTTAATCCCCGTTTGATTCAATCACTGACTCCCGATCTACTGGCCCGTATTCTGTGAACGTCGACTTGCAATACTTTAACCCATTTGAAAGTTCATTTCATTTGCATACCTTTCCAAACTTGATCGTACAAAATTTGGTGAAATTCATACGAGTGTATTAGCTGTTTGCTTTAAAAATCGCATCCATTCTGCTGCGAAATATATGAAAAAGGGCAAATACCTTGCTCCAATGGCAATACAATGTCGGGACGAACGGATGCGGACGTGAGGGGACTATAGAGGGGGATCACATGTGCGTGGCCAAAAATGGGCTTGCTCTGAGAAGTCTTCGGAATGATGAAATAGTAATCAGGCCTACGAAGATAACTTCTAGCAACTGAAGACTTAAGTCATATTGACCTAATTGTGAGAAACCCAGCGCCTCGGTGGCAGTCGAACCCACGACAGAAAGGGAAAGGCTTTAGTACACTTAACACTCTAGTCACCTGAGCTACGAGGCCTCTCCGGAGGACATGCGTTTCATCACATTTTGGTCAAGTTGCTCGCCCATTCTACTGCAACGTCTGACATCTACCAAATCTGATACGGTAAAGCGATTGCCCAAGCAGAATTTCCTAAGTAAACCACCTAGAATCTACCAGTTTACGTTAAATAATCGTCGGAAACTTCAGTAGAAAACTAGTGATTGCTCTTAACACTTTCAGGTGTTATGGGGTTTGTGGAGGTGAGCGAATATCAGATCAACTCAAAAAACACGCGCAATAAGTTCGTTCTGTCCAATGACGGAAGGTAAAGAGCAGTGAGGGACGATCTTTTTTGTACAGAGGGCAGGTTGCCGTGAGTTGTCAGCTTGCTTGTGGGTCGAAAAGACTTACATTCAGGAGCCCGTGAGTGGAGTGTTATTCACAGACGTCTGACATGTAGTCACCAGCATGAATAAGTGATTATCTGAGTGGTGGTCACGTGGTCTGTTGTCACTTGGGCTGAGTCTGGGTCGAATGTCCACAAGTGACGACAGTGGCATGGTGATAGACCGCATCGGCCAACGCGTGCACTAGTGGAGTCTAGTCGTGGGCGACGGTGCGACTACCATAAGCTTACCGTTCCTTCCTGATTGGAGAATTGAATGCGGTCGACTCTCCTTCGCCACATTCTTGTGACCTCTGATCTTTCTTCAGACAGGGATGCGCAGAACAGTCACATTGAGGAGTAACTGCTGCATCAACCTTCGCCTGCTAAGTAAACTTGGCAATTGACGACGTCCCAGACCGCGAGACTTAGCATGTCCTAACGGCTTTAAGCGCGTCTCTGACACGGGTCAGTTTACTACGGGAAAGAGGGAAGGAGGACCTTGGAGGGTCGAACGTTCCATCTAATGTGGTAATATTTTGCCTCATTGAATGTTTTTTAAAAATTCCCTTAAGTTTATGATGAGTTTCTACAAAAAAACAGGAGAGAATGAGATGACCATTGCTGGCTTACTGGTCATCTTCAGGTTGTTGTGCGCCACCCCGAAAATTTGATGAGTTTATTTCGACCTCGGACTCTTTGCTGCTTGCTATGCGAGGAGTGCTCTAGGTTAAAATGCAAGACAAAGTGGACTAAACACGTTCCATGCTGCAACTATACTGGCAAGAAATCCCTCACATCGCCTGTGGTCTATGAATAACGTCCGCAAACTTCTGTACTAAAGCTGTCAGTGCTTTCCACTTTTTTTCGGTCGAGTTGAACTTTTGCGATTTGGATCCATTGAGGTGAAAAGAAAACTCGGCATAGTTTCCGCAGATGATTCCCACGGGCGCAGATACTTCTGAATGGGTTGCAAAAATGTGACAGACGAATGTTTCGATGTCGGATTTCTGCATGTCGTGACGAGGACACTGAACATGAACAAGAACTGAACAAGCAACAAGGTTCCTCAATGACTCGTTTCTTTATCGTTGCTGTAATTTCTATCGTAAATACTACTTTGGCAAAGCTTTGTTCACCTAATGATGTTTCTAAAATCCTGAGAATGCTGCGATACGATGCGTCTTTTATTTTCCGAGGTGTTGTGTACCCACCTTGTGGTTGCGAAACATATTTGCCATAGGAAAATAAAGAATAACAATTTTGTTAAAACTTTTTGCATGCAATTTATATTTCAGACTAGAATTCACCTCTTGCTACCACGAGTGTTTAAGCGCAAAAATCGATTTTTAATTGTATTCTACTCCATTTCATATTGCTACACAATTTAAACTAACCATTTCCTTTTCGAAGTTAACATTTTAAACAATGCGGACCAAGTATCAGGAGTTTTGGTGGATACTATTATCCCCTTCAACTGTAAAACATTTAGGGTAAGGTGATACCATACTAACAGCGTAGGTACTAGCCAAAAACCCATACACGCGTGTTTCGCCGATGTTTTGCCGCTGCATGACGCAACTGCGAGGGGTTCGGCTCGTCAGCGGGTTCCCCAGCATTCCCCGGGTGTTTTCTGGTAGATATTCCAATTGAGAAATTGTCGGGGAATGCTGGAGGACCCACTGACGAGCCGAAACCCTCGCAGTTGCGCCATGCAGCGGCAAACCATCGGCGAAACACGCGTGTATGGGCTTTTGGCTAGTGCCTGTGCTGTTAGTATGATGTCACCTTAAGCTAAAGTATAATAATAGCTAACTATCGGCAGTTAATGAATATTACTTGGTTACCCGATGTGACTGATGGATTTTGGCACAAATTTTCATGTATAACATTCTCGGTCTGTGCCTACAGACCTTGTAAATACTGATTTACTCCAACTTCGTAGATAACTTCTGAAGAAATAAAAAAGCGACAGTCTGTAAAACATTTCTCAAATCAGCCAAGATTTAAGCCGAAGAACGCCTAAGAACACCTAGCAAACGTCAAAACTCCTAAAATCAACCAATTTTTCTTATGTTCTTACTGAATGAACAACCACTGCTGCATTTCCTAGCCAAATTGTAGAGGGAATATATTCAGGTCCCTTTATAAACGACAACAAGTTGGAATTCCGATCTATAGTATCTACAGGCGTCCATGGGAAATATTTTCGGAAAAAACACTGCCATTGTGTTGCAGAGTGTTCCTTTCTAATTGTGCATGTGCAGATCAAATAAATCATGCTTTTTATTATTAATGCCTGTAGCCTTGTCGAGCTGGCCACTTTACGGAAAGGAGAGTTCTGATCTTTGCAAGGTTGCAAGTACCCGTGCATATTGAGTTTTCTTTTTCAGAGCTAGCTGACCTTTTTTCCTAAGACAAGTTGCGCTTTCCTAAGATCTTTATAAAGCACTGTCATAGTGCTCATTAAATGCTTAAAAATATACAGATTATTCTGCAGATTTTGACGGCTACATCAACAAGCTATCATAATTGACTACGTTAATAAAAAATGAAGATGTCGTTAAAAATACATACAATTCTAAAAACAACAGAGATCAAACTATTTCCCCACCGGACGACTAACTCGGGATTAACGTAGTTATCTATGCGATAACTATGTGGACAAGTGCACAACTTGTTCTTCTTTCTTAATGTCATATGATTTATGAACGCGTCGAAAATGATCACGCACTAATTAAACAGTAATGCCTGAGTGTGCAATTCGCATAAGCATCCCATAATTTTCTACCCCCTAATTACATCATGTTATCGTGCGGTGGGTGATCTGAATCCTATTTTAAGTGGATCAGTCTTGCACGTTCATCTGGGCAGTATTTTCACTTAAAATAGTGTCAAAAAATTCTCAGTAAATTCACAATGAGTTCTTTGCCTTATGTGGGTTGTTGTAGGCAAGTGCACGTTACATAAATTTTATCCAAAATTGAGGGTAACAATAAATTTTACTCATTTTCCGTGAACCCATCTCGCAAGCTGCTTTAACTTCCGCTATAATTTGTAACTGGACTGGACTCGGAAAACGCTTTTTTTGGCCTTCCGAGCGGTGTGTAAAACAAGGAGCTTGTGTAGTAATTGGCGGACATTTGTTACCTCCCCGGGGCGTTTACCTATCTTGCAGAGGTTCCAAATGAATGCGGAGATAAAATATATCATTGTTACCCAGTGGGAACTAAAGATTTTTTTGAAAAATATGTGCGTGCAAATGGATGATTTTCTTATGACCTCAAAAGAAGCTTTTTGTTATTTGTTTATGATTCGTTTTGAAGGAGTTTAACTGATAGGCCAACATTTTATTTGGAAGTCGACCAGTCGACTCAGTAGCTTTGAAAACTCTCCAAAATCTTCAAATCTCAGTTATCTCATGCCCTACAAAACGCAAGCCGACGCAACTCAGAGAAAACAGTCATCCATACAACTATGTAAACAGATACAGAACAGTGAGGGGCCGATCTCAGAAAATGTGTTCTAAATTTTGAAATGCGTTCTCATTCAGAAAGGATTACTTAGGTGGTATTGTAATGTCGATTATCATGCGGCATAATCTTATAGTATACAGGACTTGCCAGGATGCTGACTTCTGAAATAACTCCTTTTTTGATGTCCTTCAGAAACTGCGCTCGATAATAAATGCATACTCAATAAGCATGCATTTTCCTCGTTGGTTTCCGATGGTCTTATAACTTCAAATGTATTTTATAGAAATATGTGCGTGCATATGATCAATGATCCCGGGTGCTGTAAAAATGGATGATTTTAATATGACCTTAAAAAAGTTTTTATTATCGACCTATGATTCATTCAGAAGGGCTTAACTTCTAGAATGTTTGTCGCCATGCTCCATTTGGGTGTCGACCGATCGACTTCGTAGTCTCGAAACCTCTCTGAAATTTTAAAATATCGGTAGTTCCATGCCTGTTTTGCAAGTCTTAATGTACTCAGAGAGAAAGAGTATCCGTGCATGTCTGTCAACAGGTGCAGATATCGTGAGGCACCGATCTCACGAAATGTTGCCAAAGTTTTGAAATACGTTTTCGATTTGGAACATATGATTTCCCTTACGCGGAAAGCATGCACCTTGTAGACTGAAGTCGCGAAGCCATATTGCAACGGCTGATCTCACTCAAAATTATTCGGGAATTGCGAACTTTTTTCAAAACCTTAACATACATTTTTTTCGGTATAACATGTGAAGGCAACGGCATTATCTACCAAACGAGTAAAAGAAAGCATAATGTTGTACATATTTTGTATAAAATATACTTAAATGTGTACAATCATCGAAAATCAATGTAAAAAACGCATGCTAGTTAAGCGGTCACTTATAACAAAGTGCAGTTTCCGCAGGTCGAATGGAAGTGCATTCAAAAGTCAACACCCAGGCAAGTCCGAAATATTATAAAATAATGCCGCATGATAATTAGTATTATAACCTCACCTAAGTGACCGTTTCTAATCGAAAACACATTTCAAATTTTGGCAACATTTCGTGAGATCGGGCGCTTGCTGTACGTGCGTAGGGCAGACATGGGATCAACCCAACCGGCCCTCAGTTTTGGCGGACACTGCCATTTGCCAAAAAGGTTCAAAGAGTTCTTAGCCACCTTCTCACACTAATTGCATTTGAAATTGTGCACAGAACAGAAAAAAACAGTCAGGCACTGGGTTATTGAGTCGAAAGGTTCACTGTCATGCCAGGAAACTTCTGTAGTCGTTCATCCAATCAAATGCAGTTGTGGGCCAAGAAAATTTGTCGGAAGGGCTGGATGACTAGTCTGAACGCGGGTGTCCGGGCACGCAACCCGGTGAGGGGGAATGACGCCAATTTCCAGGTGGTGCTTCACCTGACAAGACTTCCACCACTCTATCAATTTTAACATGGTCAAAATTCTCACAAAAGCTGACTGTCGCGCAAGCTGCGATCTGCTTGAGTAGAGGTTTTCCGACCCGCAGCCTATAAAAACTAACTGAAAACACTGGTAGAGAGGATGAACGAATGGCAGTTCTGGGGATATTGCTAAAAAAGAAAATTCCTGAGTAATCATCACACCAAAAGTCAACAGCGACGATGACCTCAAGGCAGTTAACAACAACTAAGCAGTTAATGTGCTTAAATATGATTATGGGAGCTGCTTATAGGGATAAATATTTGGTCGCATGACAATGGCATTCTTTGACTACTAAGTCCTATGTGCCACTAGCACCATTATCTACGACTGTATCTGATGATGGAATCGGGTAAGAATCCGAAAGGTCAGGCAAATAAAAGCACTCACACGGCGATCGTGCCTCCTCCTTCTAGGTGTACCAAGACTGATGATTTTCCACTACAGCAGACGTTGGGCGTGAATGCTTAAAAACACTCATATATTTGAATATGCATAGCATCTTTTGTGGTACGCTTTGAACAGGCATAGAATCCAATAAACTTATGACCCCACCCGCGAACCTACCTCAGCTGAATGAACATTTTAAGCCCCATCCTCCAGGTCCTTTTCTTTCATGGCTCAATGCTAACCTCTTTCCTTCGCATGTAGAGCAGAGCTTTCGCAAAAATCTCAGCCCAGATTATGAGAAGTATTTGTTTATGCATGCTTAAGCATACATATGTGCATGTCTACATATACACATAATCATATGTGGCCTACATCATGGAGATCTGACGGCGTTTGACCCCATATCTGAGGCCAAAAACAGAGTTTGCACTCGTTTTCCCTTTAAACCTTTACGTCTCGTAAAATCTTGTATTTAACAATTTTTTGGCAGACTCTGGTTGATTTATTTTGACCTTACTGTGAAAAACCCATGTACACCAGTGGAATTCGAACGCGGGTCAGCAAAGAGAAGGCGGGAGTACAGTTAAGCCTCTGACCACTCGAATTACGAGGCCTTGCCAAAGACCGTCAGTTTGATCATATCTCGAGCTAGTTGCTCATGCAGCCTATAGCAGCGCACGGAATCCACTAAATCGGATAAATTAAGCTGACTGTCTACGCAAGATTTTCTAAGTAATCAATTTTAAATCCAAAAGATGACCACCAGGCTTGCGTAATTGGTAAGTGTTTTGGCAGATTATGAGCCTGGTTGTAATCTGGCGGGTTCTAGATTGATTTCTTAAAAAATCGTCCTTGGACAGGCAGCTTAATACATGAGATTTGGAAGATTCCATACGTTCCAGTAGGCTGGGCGGGCACCTAGGCCGTGATAAAATCTTCAACACTCAATGACCCCGTACAGGTTGCAGGAAGTTTGCTTTTCAGTACCCATCTGAGATTACTAAAATTTAAGCTTGACCCTTTTCTGCTCCATCCACTTTAAGCATCTGTCTGCCCTCTACGTTTAAAAGAAACTGTCAGACAACCCCTCCGCCCCTGCATCGTTTTGCATTTAGGTCTGTCCAGGGGAGTCGGTTTCATTCGATTCGATAAACGCAGCGAGGCGGAGCATGCAATACGAGAACTGAATGGCGTAATTCCGGACAACTTCACAGAACCGATAACTGTGAAGCTGGCCAGCTCGCCCACCTCCCTGTCCGCTGCCAGCACAGGCGCTGGCAGTGGAGCGGGAGGGAACGGTCTCATCGCGGCCCACCCGCAGAGCCTCCTGCTATCTGTTGACGGTCCCCTCGGTGGGGCTCCCGGTCTTCCAAACTCGTCGGCGTTTGCAGCTGCCGCCGCTGCTGCCGCTGCTGCGGCTGCTGCCGCCAATAGTCCGGAAAAGTCCCAGCAGGCTGCCCTGATGGCCCTAATGCAGCAGGTAGGACAGTCGCCTTTTTATAGATGTTCGCGTATATTACTTATATCATGCTACCTGTACGTGGAAATCACATTTTAAAGTGTCTGTAGCACTTAAGGTTGAGAACCGTCACATTTTCATACCACCAGAGGTGCCGTTTAAACGGTGCCTATTGCCGCTGATCGTGTAGCACGGTAAACGCCACAAAAGGTAGAGGTCACTTAGCCCCTATACACTTTTCGGCCTGTCTATGTTCATTCTCTCATTTGTAGACGTCATATAATGGCTTTGTTGTCACTGAAAATAATTAGTGTAGACTGATGCACCGCACGTCGCCAAATCCACTACGCAGAGCTGACATGCGCGTCGAGCACGGTTGAAATATGAATCAGCGGGCGAGATTGAATAAACCAAGTCCAACAGGAGCAGCAATCGTAGGGCTCTAATGATGGGAATGAGGAAGTTTCCGAAACGTCAGTATAGATTCAGTTTTTCCCATGCACTAGCCCTCTTTTCGTCTTCGTTTTCTTCGGAAGATGATAGAGGAAACGGATATATATATATATATATCAATCAGGAATGGGCGCACACCGATCTATTGGCTTCACGAAGCAAGCAAGCTCCGTATGGGTGGCAAAGGTCACGAACAGGCAACCATTTACCAGGCCGAAGTCGACCAAGTCCTAATAGCAGCGAGGAGGGACGACAGAAAATGCGGGTAGATTGATACAGTACTGTTTAAGGCTTATTGTATGTATATATAATGTGGTAGATGGAAGCTTCACCGATCTGGTGCTGTCACCAACTTGAAAAGTCACAGGTAAAACTCGATTTTTGGAAGAGCCTCCCCTTTTAATTATATCATCTTGGAATGCACGTTTCGCCAACTATTCAACATATATACATATGCGGACGATGGCCATCAACTTTCAGAGGCCGCCCCCGACGAGAGACGGACAGATGGATAGCAGTCGCCCTCCCTCCCGCTCTGCTCCGTCGACTACAGGGACGATCCCAGTGCGTATGCGGGCAATTAGCTTCAAAGCCGATTAGCGACTACACTCGTACAATTAACATCGTGTTAACATGACTTTTATCCAACCCCCTGTGCATACTCTCTGACGCTGTACGATACTCACCCCCGACGATGAAAGCTTACCTGCTTTTGAAACGTCAGGACAATGCAACCATGGTTCCTGAGACCGCCTCTTCTTCTCATTTATGTCCGGGGACTCGAATCTTCGCTTCTATCTTATATATATGTGTGCAAATAAGTTGATTCCGACAAAGGCAAGGTAGGCTGGAATGGCCATTTCTGACTTATTAACCTAATCAGACAATCATACCCAAACCCAAGTGTGGATCACTTGAGATTCGAACCCGGGATCTATGGTCATGGAGTTTGGGACTCTACCATTGGGCCACGAGCACGTTGTCCTGTCTGCTACGATCGGGAATATTAACAGTTTTCTGTCTATATCGGACGCCGCCGTGTGGTTGATGGTTGGGCTTGAGAGAGGGAGCACGTAAGGCACAATGAGACGCGTGAGTTCCGTAAGAACGATCGGTGGCGAAGGGTGCATTCGGATATGATATAAAGAAAAGAGGGGGCTATTCGGAAAATCGAGTTGTGCTTGTGAATTTTCAAGTTGGTGACACCAACCCGTCCTCAAACAGAATGAACGGAGGAGAAAGTGAGATTGGCGGGACTGGACAGAGAGCCACGGAAAGTTAGGGATTGAGAGGGGTGGGCACTGAGTTATGGTATACTTTGGGATAGGCAGAGGGAAAGGAGAAGTGTTAGGGCTCCTTGTGATGTAGAAGAAGCAGGGGGGCTGAGAGATTGGGAATAACTGGGCATGTGGGCGGCCGGTCAATGATGCGAAAGTAGATCAAGGGTCAGTGCGCTGGCGTTGGAAGTGTTAGGGGGTTTCGGTTGTGGTTCGCCGTGCAGCATGGAGGGCGGGGGTGGCGAAACAGTGAAATTCTACGTGGGCGACTAGGGATTAGCAGTTGTGGGGGCGTAGGAAAAAGTCAATGAGCGTGTATGTAAACCCTCGTAGTGAGCGTCTAGATCGAAGTGGCGGTTGATGATGGTCGTGCCAGAATGCCAAGCTTCGAGGAATTCTCGCGCTTGTCTGGTGTTAGCCATTGCGACCACTTCAGTACCATCCCAACTGAGGAGATGGTCATACTCAAAGTCGTGCGCAAACGCGAAGAACAGGATGTCACGTCGGCGAAGTGCTAACTTATGCTCGTTACAGCGAGTCCCGAGACGTCGACCTGAAAGACCAACGTAAACACAGAAGCAGTTGGCCCATGGAATGCGGTAGATGACATTAGTTGGTTGTTCTTTGAGCACCGCTGCGCATAGGCGGGATGCGGCTTGCGGACAGTGGAAACGCCAAAGCATTTTAATTTTCAGGAACTTGTTCCAGAAGCTCCTTGAATGTACGGCAATGAATAGAATGTCCGCGGCGCTTTATTCCCATTGGAATGGAGGCTTCGTGGTTGTCTCTGCCGTCTGAGTTAATTTTTGTAAAACAGGTCGGATATCCATTTGGCCAGAATAATCAGTCATCCTGCGGCCCATAAAAAAGCTGTTTCCACACTCTTTCCCATCAGACCTTTAGTCGCTGCTGCAGTGATGACCTACTTAAGAAAAGACTGGCTACTCTCGCTACATGCGGCGATGTTATTTCATGTCGGCTTCTTCGGCTATAATGGCGGAATTCCCTGTGGGCCGGCTGGCCGAGCTGTCATTTTAGCTTATTGGTTACTGTAAGCTCGTGAACGGGAAATTACTTAACAGGCATAGTCGATGTGCTAACTTATGAAATCTCGCCCGAAAGTCCAAAGTAAGTTTTTTACTCAAAAAGATTGCTTAATTAAAATTGCAACAATAATCACGGTGCAGGATAATCCTATAATAATTCACTTTCTCCAGGATGTCATCTTTTGGAAGAAATTCTTCTTGGCCGCTTGGAAAAATCACATTCTGGAAAAAGTAGTTACTTAATAGTATGACTTTTTCTGGTCGTTTTTTGATCTCCTTATAAATCCAAATATATTTTATAGAAAACGTGTATAAAATATTCAGCTTCTTACTCATTTGGTAGAACATTACGTCTTCTTCAGATGTTATGCTTAAAGCTAGAGTATAATAAGGTTTTCAGAAAGTTTTAATTATAAGCTTTTTTAAGATCGAAGAATGCCGGTTGGCAAAACATCTTGTCTATGCATTTAATAATGTTGCTTGTAAAGTTTACAATGGTGTTCAACTCCATTGTCAAATTCCATGAACCTCATATGGTATTCTCATAGTACCGTAGGGGAATGTGGGGTTTTCTGTACACGAAAAATGTACCCTGAATGCAAGTGTAACGGTAGGTCGGATTCACATTTATTTGTAAATTGGAAAAGTTTTTCAAAACCGAATTACACCCTTCTTTTAAGCGTACCATTTGGAGAAGACGTAATTTTCTACAGTATGCATAAAAGATTGGAAATTTTATACATGCTTTTCACAAAATATACCTGAATTTATAGGAGCACAGATAAACGATGGGAAAAGGTCATACTACTTAAGTTTTTACTTTTTCAGGATTTTAATTTTTACAGGCGTTCGTAGAGAATTTCTCTTTAAAGCTGACATCCTGATGTAACTGAATTATCCTAAGCTTATGCTACATGATGTTTAACATTACAACTCAATTTAAGTAATCTTTTCGAGTCAAGAACGCATTTTAGAATTTCGGTTGACATTTCATGAATAAGCAGATCCACCGTATCTTGTAGATAGTAGCGGTCGCCAAGGGTCGGCTCTTGCTTTTTGAGATTCATAAAAGTTGTCGAGAGCCTTATGATGGGGGTATCTGTCGTTGCTGCCATAATCCACTATCCCTGCTTTCCCGAGAATTGTCTTATTTTTTACCGAGTCGATAAAACACGCCAAAGCAAGTGAGCTCACGTCCGATTGTTTCACTAGTGTTCAAGAGCTGCATCTTAAAGCCTTCAGACAGCTACATAAACTACATTCATCCATAAAGGCAAGGTGCGGGCTCATTTCCAAATCACGTTGGGGTTTGAATCAAGAACAGTCATTGGCGTAGGAGGTCAAACAATTTAGTGAAATCTTTCATTATATCAATGGCAAAAACCGTTTATTTTATCGTAAAGGCTTGCCTGAACAGGGGATCAGTACTCCGTTAAGTTAGTCTCCCCGACTCATTCCTCTCCGATTACTGTCACATCCCGTAAGAGCATCTTTAGACTTATCTAAACCCGGTTCTGAGAAAGATAAGGATCGCACGGAGGCTGTCGAGGGTCAGCTGACGACTATTCTCAAAGATCTCTGCAAAGTAGGCCATTTGTCTAGCAAAGAGTATGAACGACTGAGACCGGTGGGCTCGACAATACCTAGAATGTACGGCCTTCCTAAAATTCACAAACAAGGGCTGCCTCTACGTCCAATCTTGGATATGAGGAATTCGCCCTATCATACCGTTGCAAAATGGTTAGTGGAAAAACTAAAGCCATTGCAAAGTTACCTATATCCTCGAAGTTTAAAAGACTCCTTTGAGTTCGTCGAAGCTATCAAAAATATGAACGTTGGCGGACGGAGGATGTTATCACTGGATGTATCATCGCTGTTTACCAACGTACCCGTGGCAGAAACAATAAACTATCTGTGTGATGTTATTCGTGATACGAACTACGCCATAGACATGCCTGTGAAAACGCTTAAAGAACTACTGACGCTTTGCACACAAAATGTCCAATTTCTGTGCAATGGTCAATTATACAGGCAGGTAGATGGTGTGGCAATGGGATCACCGCTTGGACCGTTCCTTGCAAATGTTTTTATGGGCAAAGTCGAGAAAACAAGCTTGCAAGAGACCATTAATGGCCTCGTCTTCTACCGTCGGTACGTGGACGATATCTTCTGCCTGACGGATGGTACCATCGATACCGAGGAGCTTGTCCAAAAGTTCAACAGTGCGCACCCCTCGCTTAAGTTCACTGCAGAGACCGAGACAGATAACGAACTTGCCTTTCTCGATGTCCTTCTGCACAGTCAAGAGGATGGGTCTATCCAGCGCAGGGTGTTCCGAAAGAAAACCTGGACGGGACAATACGTTAATTTCCACAGTTTTGTCCCCCTTAACATCAAACGGAATTTAGTCCAGGGATTGGCGGCTAGAGTGAGACGCATCTGCTCACGTGAAGCTATTGAAGAAGAACTTCAACAGCTGCGGAACACACTTTGGGAGAACGGATACCCAGATAGATTTATCCTCCGAAATATTGGGGAACGCGTTGAAAAGCCCACTGTTGCGACTGCGGAAAAGAAAGATGTATTCATAAGATTGCCTTTTAGAGGAGACGCAGAGAGCGAACTAGTCCGACGGCGCTTAACTACAGCTATCACGAGGGCATTCCCTGCGGCGAATTTATGCGTATGCTTCACAAACTCTCCCCTCCTACGTTTGGGAGGTAAAGACAGACTACCGTTGGAGGCCACATCAATGTGCATTTATTCATTCATTTGCTCCTGTGGAGCAGGATACATCGGCCGCACAACGAGACGCCTGGTAAAGAGGGTACGTGAACATATGCCCGCCTGGCTAGACAGAGGTGAGACCCGGTCGATTTCGAGTTCTATTCTCGCGCGTTTAATCGATACGAACCACCGAGTCGATGCCAAGAAAGCATTTCAGGTTGTCTACCGGACACCAGCATGCTTCTCTAAAGGCCTACGCCAACGGATACTAGCAACGGCAGAGGCAGTAGCTATACGGTTAGTGAATCCGGTGTTATGCTGTCAGAAAACTCTGACACAAGCGCTTTCGCTGCCGTGGCCAAAGCCAACCCCAAGTGATGAAGCCATGCCGCCTCAAATCCCTAATCACGATTATGGGTACTCCGTGTACTCAACCCAAGATCATTACTCAAAGACTCTCTTACCCCCCTCCCCTAGCCCTGACGACTAACACCCGCCGACCTTCTCATGCGGGCGGCGTGGGGATGATGAGTGTTAGTGACTTAATAGC